ATTTGAAACAAAAATATCTTCTCTATTTGATAGACAGATAGGCTGATAGACAGCTAGAGCACTAAAGGAATACATCAAAATCTCTCTTAAAGACTTCAATTTAAAAGGCTTAAAACGATATAGCATAACGCACAAAAATTAAATGAGCTAAAAATTTTCTATGGTGACGGAATTTTTAGATTTTCCTCTTTGGGTTCATTTTGTATGAAAACTTCCTTAATGCGAAATACATAGCGTTGAAATACCTGTCATTATGAGGTTCAATTCTGTGTTATTGCGAAAACAGCTTCATGGTTTTATTTAAGTAAGTTGCTTGAGTCAGAAAAGATTTCAATTCTTTTCAAAGTTGTCCAAAAGTTTTCGCGGATTACTAATTTAAAATTATTGAATTTTCCATTTATTAAAAAAACAGCCTAATTATGTAGTTTAAGTTGTTCCGTTATCCAATTGTCATGATCTCTTACCGTTAATAAAATACACCATGTGTTTCCAAATGTCCTTTAAGATTCTTAAACAAATCCACTATAACTAATGAAAGCACTAATTTTATTTCATAGAGTAAATTACAGCTTTTCCTATGAAGCTCAAAATTTTTCCGTTATCCACGCGCCATATACTTTCTTTCAAAATCTATCAAACGATTAGGATAATTTTCATTTTGCTACAAAAGACGTCAAAACGTCAATATCATCTTTTTGTGTGCTGATTTAAAGCTACAGAGCGAAAAGAACAGCATTGTAATTTGTTTGATAAGAACTCTTTGTCAATCTCAAGACGCTTTTCCAAGACACTCACAACTCTTACTAAAGGCTGAAGGCTGCTCCAAACATGACTCCTCAATTCTCTTGTTTCTTGAGGCATGCTCAGAAGGAGACATGTAGATAGTGCTTGAAGCGCTTCCTGAAACGCATACCCCACTGATGAAGGGAAAATATTTTAAATTCCAACAACAGGTTTTTTTTTTTTGTTTTCTTGAGGCATGCTCAGAAATGTAGATATAATAGTGGAAATTCATGTTGTTGAAAATATTTTAAATTCCAACAACAGTTTTTTTTTGTTTGTGAAATATACTGTGGAAATTCATGTTTTCATTTTCTAGTAAAAATTGGTGTGTGAAATATTTCAGTTTCTAGTAAAAAAGGTCCAATTCAATTTGAGAAGTATCCTTTTCATTTAAAAACCTGTGTCATTTTATATGAAAAAAATCCACTTTTACTGATGAAAGTCTCCTGAACTCCAAATTTATTTTTCAACATATTGCACGTGGCAACCTGAATTAGGAGAGAACCTTGACTTTACTGCTAATTTTGAATATAACATCCACTGTTTCTGTCAATGCAAATGGCTTAAGGGCAAAAGGAATCATGTTCTATAGAACGAAGTTCTTTTGAGAAGCTCAGAAAGAATCAGAGAGTTATCCCTTACTCTAAAAAAGTGACTGTCTTAGTTTGCATAATTTTGAATGTTGCATCCAGAGGTCATGATCTCGCTCGCCAACTTTTTGTTGTTCTACTTTTATGTAGCAGATTTGTAAAGGTAAAGTTTGGTAATATTTTGGCTTTTTCTGAATGTATGGTGTTAAACAAAATTGTTTAACCTTTGAGGGACTTTAATGAACAGGTTAAAAAATTGTTTAATCCAAGCAAAGTTGTTATGGTTTTTGAATGAAAAAAAAGAGAGAACGTTATTTTTTTTGTTTGCAAACAAATCCCGGAAGAAATAAAACAAAAAAATTCTCTCGCCATGTTGAGTGTTCTCAAACGATTTTCTCGAATATTTTCCGTTCGTTTAAAAAATAATGGATACACCATTTGACTCACAAGCTACCTAAGGATGAAACTTTTTATGTAATATCTGTAAATGTACAAGTTACGTCCATCAGTGACTCGATAGATCTTACTCTCCCATCACAGTTTGTCGGATCTGAAAAAATAACGCATTTGATTATCTATCTCTTGCATCATGTGTTTCACTTTCAAAGTCTTTGCAATGATTTGTTCAGCACTAGTTTTGAGTTACAACTGGTTAACATTTAGGATTTAAAAGGACAAGTACAACCATGTTTAAAAATGCCGTTTTGGGGTTAAAGGCCCTCTTTCTTGATGATAATCCTCCCTCGCTCAGGAAAGGTTTTTCTCTTGCAAAAAGAGCTTCTTTTACTCAGGAAATGCTTTTCTCTTGCTAAAAGGGCCAAGGCTCTGCTCAGCAATCAGTAAAGAAATTTCTTTAAGCTGTACAAATAAATGTTTTTAGCCAAGAATGTTTCTTAAACAGATTCTCCTGGGAAAAATTATATCAACCTGTACCAACAAATTCTTTTTTCAAATCAGAACTTGAATTTGCAAAGAAAGCGCAACCTTGATTCGCTGTACAATGACAAAATATCTTTGCGTTCGCTTTAAAACGGCTTAAGTGCCAGACAAAACTGACTTTGTAATCTCTCAAGTGAGACCTCCTTTTGAAAAGCTGATGATGATATGCTTAAATTAAGACGACATTCAATGAAAATGTTTTTTTTTCTGATTGTTCCGTTTCGAAAGAGAACGCTTGGAGAGGTAAATGTGGGAGTATTTCAGGTCCTCCAGAGGAAGAAAGTGGTTGGAAGAGAAATTGAGGGACCATATTTATTATTTCCACAGTAGCTTTTTCGAACTTTAGAAAATACGGAAGCTATAAAGGTTTGTTCGTTAGGAAATCTTCCAATATATCAGACATTGATTAAATTACTTCGCTTCACTAATTTTTATGAAGCTTCTCCTCCGACGCTTTTCACCTGATTAAAAGTTCTTTGATGACTTACTCATTGCTCAAAACCGTTGCTTGGAGTGAGGTTTCATCCCTTGGAAATTAAATAATGTTCAACTGATGTCCTTGATATGTATAATCTATATCAACATTCTCAACATAAAATGTTGATTCCGATTTTTCAGGAAAAAACTTTGAGTTGCAATTTTTATATTTCTAGATTAAAATGTCAGTCTCCATCATCAATATTACACAAATTAAGTTATCTCCTGTCCACATGTTTTAAAAAAATAAATTTTTCATTTGAAAAGTATCGCTCTTACAGGGAAACCAATCAGTTTCTTTTAAAATTTACCATTGGTAACATGGATGTTAGGAGGCTGCTCTTTATGCCGCTGTCAAAGTTGCAAACGTCAATATTTTAAAAAACTTTGAGCGAAATAAATGTGATAATCGATCTAATAAGAGTTCCTTCCAATATATTTAGGAGATAGTTCACAGTCACGAGCCCGCGGGGAATAGTTATTTTTAGAATTGCTCAGATTCTTTCGAATTCTGTAACAGTTGTAAATTTTTCTTGTCGTTGTAACCATTCTGTAAATAGGAAAAACTTTGTGCATGTTTTGCTCCAAATGTTGTGATTTCTCGTGTCGAGATAAGCAGCTAGTTTTATCTGGAATTTAACAGCAAAAACTTCTATACTACTTTTGAGAAGTGTTAGGCCAAACTAAGTGGCACCTTTTTGGTTCCCAGGAATTGAAATTGAAATTCACTCTTCCTCGGTGAAATCGACAAAACGCGAGGTAGTCATTTTAAAATTTCGCAACCCTGCAGTAATCTTCTTGAGGTGATTATAGTGAGATATGACGCAATCCTCGACCAATCAGGGCGCTAGAATTTCAATATCCACCTGAGCAATTATACTAATGAGTATCAGTTGGCGGCGTTTCTAAATTCTTATTGCAATGGTTGCTTTGCACTACTCACCTTACATGCATTATCTGTTGCATGTACTTGTTTATTTGAAAATGACCTTTTAACTGGTTGTAACTGCTCACTTTGTTTAAGCTAAGTCTTTAATTTTCCACTAGAAAATATAATAGGTGATTTTTTTTAGTCATAAAATTATTTTGAATTTATTATGAAAATGGTTACTATTATTTCCTTGGAAATTTTTTCCACATCGAAAAATGTAACTTTCAATGATTTGATTTTTTTTTCACCTTTTTTTCACCTTAGTGTTTTCACCTTAGTGTTTTCGCACTAAACGGGAAAAAGCGACGGAATCATCAGAAGAATAAAAACTTTGGCGACGTTCTTAAATTCCTATTGTAACTGTTGCGTTGAATTATTTACAAAACAATGATGCAAACAACTTACATTTCGCCGAGTTCTTCTTTATCTTTCTGTTTGTTTCCCATTCCATTTATCCAATCCTCGTTGAATCCCTGTTTTCCTCCTCTCCTTTTGACTCTGCAAATCCATTGAAACGAATTGATTAATAACATACAACGCATAAGGTTAATTTTCTCTTCGTCAAATGAGCCATGTTTGTTTCAACTAGTACCACCACAAAGTTACAAACAACCACTAAGTCACGGTGTTTTAGAGGCGTATAACTCTCTCGATAAAGCTCAAAACAGAAAGCTAAATCGACAGAATAACCGTTCTTGAATAAGCTTTGCGGTCCAAAAGTCTCAAGTTTTCTTTTTTTTTTTTTACAGATTTCTATGAACGTTTCAATTTTCTTTCGCTTATTTTCTGAGACAGCAGTTGCTTATTATATTTTCCTTGTAATATTTATATATAAATTGGTAAAACGCTATCTGTCCAAAATTGATCCCCTCAGATCCCCATCTTAGCTGGGCCATTGCATCGTAAAGCTGCGATGCCTTGTCTATGCAAAGGGTAACTTATGGGCAGAAGTCAGTCAAGTATATTTTTACTAGAGTTAACTAATACAGATTCGTCATCTAAAGTTGTATGCGGTGTGTTAGTTCTGTGTAGTAAAAATTGGTGATTGGTGAACATGAAACTTTAAGTCTACATACGTACGGTTTTCACCTGGAGTTAAAATTAAAGTCGATACCAGAAAAACATTAGCCCAGAAACTAATTTGACCATTCAGAATTCAAAAGCTACTGTTCAAGCTGGTGTAAACCTTGGTTTAACTTACATGTAATCCAGCACACTTACTAACAATGTTCTATTATTTTCGTACCTTCCATTTCATTTCGTAGTTCTTGGTTTTCGCTAATCAGCTCTTCATTTTCCCTTTCCAGCTGATGGATAATGTCTCCAGGCATTTGGGTGATCTCGTCTGGGTGAAGAGCAACTTGACACCAGTACTGAGAACGCTCTGCTCGGCGAGTTGTATTGTTTTTGACGCTACGTGCCTTTTTCACGATGTAGTCTACTCTTCTGTAGACGGCCATCCCAACTCGAGAGCGAGCAGACGACGATAATTCGTAGCCGACTTTAACCAAGCTGGCCTGTAGGCTATCGAAAACTTGGTTGTGGCTATGAAGCTTCCTCCATTGCCAGAGGCCCTCGCCTTTGAGTTGAAGAGAAAATGATGGGTTTTTCTTACCCATAAATGGTGCAGAGATATTTATGAAAGCAGGATTGATCGGGGATTCTACGAGCTCTGATGAGAGCTCCCGATCAATACGCTGCATTTCTTGTACGGAACACATGACTGAAATTATGAGACTCTTGAAACTTAGGTTGCTTTAGCGATTGAAGAAGACTTATGATTAAAGCAGCTTTTTTCCCCGAAGTTAATAGTTTCGAGGGAACAATAGTTGCGACATTAGAGCCAATTAGACAGCAGTTGCCAATAGTTACGCATCTGAATTCATAACATTTGTCTGTAAATAACACTTTTCTTTAATGAACGGTTATACTGAATTTTGCAAACATTGCTAGACGTATTTAAGTAAGTAAGTAACTTCATTTCTGAGTCAAACATAAAGACCAGTCAAAGGAAAAATCCAAATAGGGGACATGTAAGAGAATAATTGTATCTTTAAAGTTCGATTAGTTCAACAATCGAACTCGCAAAAAAAGTAGGTTACATGAACCTCCAACCAAGGATTGAGGTCGATAGCTGGATGTTCTGTTTTATGTTATTGCCTATTTTCTATTTCGTTAAAATCGCTTGAATCGGTAGAGAAAAATATGAGCGATGCTTCCGACAACCGGCTTGCGAGTGCGACGATCGTCGAGATAGAACTAAAGTCTTTCTTGTGACAATAATAGAAGTGTGGTTTCCATATGATAGTAACGATTGCCGAATATTTCTGCAGCGATCTCAGCGATCATATCTTAAAAGCTTTTACAGTTTTTAAAGCATTGTCTAGTTACCACCTCAATTTCAATACTAATTAGGCGGCGTGTGCGCGATTGTTTGCGGAGGCGGAGCTTAGCATACCTTGATATTCTCGCGGGAAGTTAAAAATAGGTCACTTGTATTCTCGTGGGGGTCTCCAAAGGACAAATTTGGATAGAACACTACGATGCTGAGCAAACGTTTTCGAAATTCGCGTTTTTCGACTACTTCCAAAGTTTGGAATCCCTTGAAAATTTATATGACGCTTTCTAGAATGTCAAATAAAAATAACCATATGGTAAAAGAGAAATCTAGCAATTGAGTGAAGATAAATTACGCCTGAAAGTGCGCGGAGATCGACTTCTCATACAAGTAGGATGCTAACATAGTCAATTTTCAAGGCAAATTTGGGACCTCTTCTGAAAGCGCAAGAACAAAGTGAGAATGATACACTATTCAATTGAACTTTCTTCTTTAAAAGCCATATGGTAAAAGTAGCATTTGAAAAGAAGTTTATCCGTAAACGAAGAGAACGTAAGCCTTCCTCGACATTTTCAGCCTTTTTCCTATTGTTTGACAATCATTTTCTAATTAGCTTTTAAATTTAGCGCCAGCGTCTCAATGAAAGTCCCGGATATGTCGCTGAATTCTGGGCGATGAGGCATGCGCGACTTTTGACTGCCGTGTTTTTTTAGTAACCTAACTTAATCTGATGTCAAATGAAAGGATTTTTCGTCGAACAATTTGATGGTATTTTGCGGCTTCCCTTGAGTGTTGCCAATGGTGTCGTTACAAATTATCGAGAGAAAGCACAGACGCAAAAGGGCAAGAGGACTGTAATGTTTGAGAGCATTGTTCTCTCCATCTTCTTCGTTTCTTATCACGTCATGGATATAGAAGCAATGAAAGTAGAGCTGTTCCATTGATCAAAATTATACATGATTACCTTGACCACTGAAGTACTTGAGTGAGCCATGGTTGCGTATCATTGTCAGAGTGTAGTAGACCAAGATGTGAATATACGGAGTTGTCATTATTTCATTGGTGTAACCTGAGCCAGTTCCAGGCATCCATATCAAATAGGCTCTACACATTTTAGCCTGTGTATTTGAGAAAGAATGGTTATAAAAATTGGAATGTCTTTTTACAAAAAGTACTAGGATTGAAGTAAAAAGTTTTTTTTTAACACAAACCTTATCCTGTAGTTTAACGACTTTATCTTTGCCGTGGGTATCTTTGCTTAGGAGTTCTAATATCTCCTGAAAGCACTGAAAAGAGAGGATTTTCATTTATTGAGTGAAAGTTGATTGAAACTGTTCAAAAATCTGTTTAAACCCAAGGTTGTGGGTTCCTTTCAACACAAGATTAATTTATTTATTTATTACTAAACAATCATTTACTCACTGTCTACAGTTTTTGAACAACAAGTGCTCTTTCTAGGCGCAAAAACTTGTAAAATGACAGGGAAGCTTTTCCAGGAGCAGTCACTTCTCTCTTCCCAGCGAGGATGTCCTTTTAAGGGTCCTCCTTAATTCTCTTGTTTTCCACATGTTGAGAGAGATTCTTAAGGAGTGTATGATGGCAAGTAGTGCATCTAAATGGGGAAAGTACCTCTTTGATGGGGGCTTGCCTTGGTTGTCAGCCTGATTTCATGAAAGGTAAATTGCATTACAAGGTGAAACTCTTGCAATACTCGCTTTGAATTTCTTTATATAATAAGACAACGAAAGATATAATTTACCTCATCCCGATCAACATCTTTAAGGATTAGCCCTGTCTCTAGTCTGTCCATCACTCTTAACATCAAGTGAAGTTCGTCAGTGACAATGTTGCTAAGAAGTATTTCAAATAATGGTTGATGCAAGCATCCAACTTGCTTGTGCCCGTCCGGGCCCAATTTTCATTTCAAAATTTCCGCCTGGTATTATGAATATGAAACATCCATGTTGCACCTTAAGATGAGAAAAAGAGAACATCAGTATTGTAAAACATGTTTTCAAGAGATGAAAGACATAATATAATTTGAAAAGAACCTGTCTTTTTTGCGGATTAGGCACCAAATGCATGAATTGTTTGAAATGACTTTTTTTTTTATGCCCATTGCCAGAAGCAGAAACTGTTGAAAAAAAAAGAAAAACAAGGTATTATAAATAACAAACTCAAAGGTTGTCTCATTTATATGGTCAGATACATTGTACCTACTTTGTAGTTGCCACCAAGGTATAACTACAAATTTACTTTCTACCTTTGATCAAGATGAATCCATCATCAATTAACTTTTTTACCGTCTGCGTTACATTTGCCAGACCAGTTCTCAGGTTGTTGAAAACCTCAGATGTTTTTAGTACAACAATGGTGTGGTTGCCTGTTGTGACAAAATAAGCAAGGTTGATAGATAGTAATTCTAAAGGTGTGATTAGAATTCAGCATTTTTTTTCAATGTTGTCACAATTATTAATGATACACGTAGTCAGAATTAGTTTTACCTGCACTGTTTTGTACTGTCTGCATCTTCTAGTTAGCCTTGTAGTTGTATGAATTCAAAATAATTACCTATCAATGCACTGTACTAGCACTAGAGAGAACATGTTGATGCTCATATAAGATGGGAAAGGAACAAAGGAAAAGGAAGCTAAAATGAGACATTCTAGCTCCATCGCCTGATATTTTAACTTTAACTGTTGGACTGTCTTGGTGATTGAATTCCTTCAGCGGCAGCAAAATGAAACAGATCAATATATTTGATAATACTTAATAATTGAGATTACTCACTCTTAATTTGTTTTTGTGGCAAACAAGGCAAACTATTCATAACCATCTCTAGTAGTTCTACTTAAATGTTCTTCAATTCTTTGATTCAGTAGGTCTTCAAGTGGCAACTCAGCTCCTGGCCGATTCCCTGACGTTTTTTGAATGTTACATCTGGAGTCTAAAACTGCTTTACATCCCTCCACCAAGAAGGTTCTTGCAAGTGATTCATCTTGCTGTGTCAGCTCATGGTAGGCCTCCCATGAAATAGAAAACCTATCCATGATAAAAAATATTGCTTTTATTTTTTCTTTCTGGGCTGAAGGAAGCTTGTTGCATGCCCGCTTTTTCTTCTCTATAGGAAAATAACAATAATAACAACATGTTAGTAGTTTATAAATAAAGGAACAGGAATGAAGTATTATCATCATCCTGGTAGAGGATACTTGTGGGATTGTGGCAATGATCGGTCAAAACTACAATATCATTTTTGTTTTTCCACACAAAACCTGTCGTTAATTCCTTTTTGTAAAGGTCCCACCGGAGTCCGTGGAAGACAAATTTAGCGGAAGAGCCTATGCAATAAGCGACATTTCCAGAAAATCACGATTTGATACGACTTCCACTCTACGCAATCTTGAACCCAAAATTTTCCATAAGGTTTCCCCAACAATTAAGTTAAAATAACCATATGGTAAAACAGCAAAAGAAATTTCCCCTTCACAAAATTACGTCCATAAGTAGGCGAAGGGCTGTTTCTCATACTAGCAATATGTAAAGAAGCGAGTTTTCATACTCGATTTGATATGTCTTCCAGACGTCCTAAGGCAACAGCAAAGGTACAGGGGGGCCTCCATAATCTCTCTTCAAAGGCCATATGGTAAAAGGGGTTTATTCAAAGCGATTTTGGTGAAAACAAGAAAAAAATGCACCCCTGTGGTGATTTTCAGGCCATTTTCTCTTTTATGTTGCGCGCGCCTCGCCAATTCAGTTTCAAATTTACCAATGGTAAGTCTTAAAAAGTCCCGGTTTACCAGTATGTCGCTATAGGTCGCCGGTAATCTCCAAAGTTCGATCCTCAGTGTTATTCGTGGTCTAACGAAATATCCCAATGGGCTTGTAACAATAGAATGACACACACTTAAGTCTATGCAGACTTCCGCTTAAGTCATCGAAACGTAAGCAAAATCAAAGTTTCGGAAACCAGCCTTGCAAGCTATAAACAGTTACAAGTAGTCAGTGGTTACAAACTGAAAAACAAACCTTACTGGATGCTTCTATGGTTTTTTTCCTCCCTTGTATCTCTTGATTTCTAGGTTTTTATTTTCATTCTGTGCTTGACACTACCTTGGGAGGAAAAAATATACATACCCTCTTTTAGATAAGCACTCGTATTAACTAAAAAAAAGTATATTTTTTTCGGATTCGAAAAGAAAAACACAACGTATAATCTTTTTTATCAGATAAACCCCTGGCAATAATAGTTTAAGGTATACCATTTTTCAATAAGTATTTCTTTTCTAACCCCTTTTCGAGATTAGTATTCTCTGAAAAGATATCGAAATTAAGGGAATATTTGACAGGCTAAACTGTCGCTACATTAGGTAGGTCAAGTGGATTTTCATGCATGATAACCATTAGTTATTTCTTTGACACCAGTGTTTTGCTATCAACAGAAACAAAGCAATTGATTCCTCAAACCAAAAGCGCTGTAGGCCAAGGGATTCGATCAATTTTCTGTTTTAGAACCCAACTAGTTTTTGTATTTCAGTCCGTTAAATCCAGGTTTATGCCTCAAACTCCTACGAGTGACCGAGACAGAATTTCCCCATACAATATTGATACAATATCAAGCAGACAAGTGATGAGAATACAGAACAGTATCAACAAGAAGATCATTAGTTAATCCAGCACCAAATTCTCCAAACTAACGACATAAGATTTGTTTGAAAGACAGTAAAGAGAATATTGATGAAAGGATTAAACGTTCATAGCAGATCAGACGTACAAGCGCCTAATTCACTTTAAAAAATTTAATTACCAACCATAGAAAAAGTTGCCCAGTTTCTATCATTTCCTTCCTTGAATTTCTTATTTCTATTCATTCTATGCTTGACGTTGTGCTGAAGAAGGAACCAAAACACAAAACACAGTTTAAATCGATTTCGAACGGGAGTGTACCCTTCTCTATGTAAGTACATGTACTTCAGGTTGCTGCGCATGATAAAGATTGATGTCTAGATCGAAAGAATCGAAAAGAGTTCACAAGAATTACCATTCTAATACAATGAAGTTACGTTACCTTCGAAATCCTTTGAAGGTGATCCGAGATAAAATCTAATTCATGCACACGAAACTAATTCTAACACCCATGGCTGCTACCGAAGCATATTCTGGTATCTGTGATTGGAAGATTTTAGGAGCTTCCGCTTCTTCCCTGGACGAGCTGAGCTCCCTTAATTATTTTAACAGATTTCTCCAACAGTTCACGGGTACCTATTTAGATTATTTATATTCATGGGTCGAGAGAGACGTTATGGAGTTGAATTTTCTCGCCTAAGTACATAACACAACGACCCAGCCAGGGTTTTAACCTTGCGTGTCAGGGAAGCGATGTGCGCGTTTAAGGAAAATATAATTTTGACATACTGTGAGCATAAGTGATTGCATCGCGTAGAATAAAAACAAATGTAGAAATAAAAAGTGATGAATAACTAAACAAGCTATCAATAACCTAACCTTTATGTTAAAAGTTTCTCACGGTTAATCAAAGAGTCACATGGCGCAATAAGAACCGTCATGGCGGCTGCATTTGGGGAGTAGTCTTATTCTGTACCATGTATAGTATGCTTTTCCTTTTTGTATCGTACTCTACAATTTAAACTGATTTTCAAGGGAAACGGCGAGGCACTGTATTTCTATTCAATATGCATTTACACTTAGTTACGTACCTTAGGAAAATTCGAGATAAAATGGCATTCATCAACTCGCCTCGTCATCGAATTTGAGCCACCCTACGCAGTAACTTCGAGCGAAGAAAGAGACACAAGCTGGACTTGACACTGAACAGACCATATCTAAAGGCATAACAGTGGAAGTGATGTGTTTTGTGGCCCCAGAGAAGCTGAAAAAGACGCTGAAATCTCTCGAACTTCTTACGCTCTTTCCACGTGCGAGACCGATCGCAAATATGAACATTAACTTGTAAAAATTATTTGTAATTCAAATGAGTTTTTCCGACTTTGAAAGCGTACCGAAAAGCATCGAATAGCTCTTCGGTTACTGTCGTTAAATTCAATAACTAAATGGGAAGGCCAGCTGATGGCTGATTTCAACTTAGTAGATTTCAAAAGGAGCAAATACTGTCGTAGAAATATTAGGTATAGAACTCAGATAAAATGAAACTGAAAAAAATAAATTTTGTCATTTCTGACAATATCTTCCCTTTTCTTTTTGCAAGGGAAGATGTCAGAAATATGTTATAATACTTAGTAGCTTTGATTGACAAAAATAAACTTTGAATCGTTTTTCGTGATTCAGTCAATATTAATCTTGTCGAGGTCCGCAGAAGCCAGCTAAGTCGAAATCCATGGTGTCCTAGAATAAATAATTGAAAGAATGTTTGCCACAAGAAGAATTTGTAACTTAGGGTGATGAAAGCTCCGTTATGACTATTAGAGAAAAGGTTCCGGCCATCTGGCCTTTAGTACTTGCAACCGCTGTCTTAAAATAAGCCTCAAGATTTAATGTTGAGTGGAGGGTGGGGGAGGGAAAAACTCACAATCTATATGTAACCTACACAACCTACTGTTTTTAGAGTTGAATTATCAATTAATCCAATTGGTTTAAATTTAAGTTGGTTTAATATAGTTTCGTTATTTTTAAACACCAATTCTTAGATGGATTTTTCTATCTGAACTTTTGAGTGTTCCTAGAGCATGGTACCAAAAACGTATTCAATCACTCCTCACTATTTTATGACCATTTCCTGACAAAAGGTTACCATAGCATCACCCTTACCTTTAAATTTATGTGCGAATCACTCATAAATGAGTGCAGTGAGCTGAAAAGGGATGCACAGTGGTAACAGCGCTCTCCTCCCACCGCACAACCTGAAATGACACGTGTCAGTCTTACTCGCAAATAGTTTTGGCATATCCACTCTGAAAGAGCATATTTCCTCGTGAATGGTTGTGCCGGTGAAATTTGCTTTTGCTCCACTATTACTGCTCGACATTTCATATTTATCACGCCTTATTGAGCCGAAAAAAGTTTTTGTACTGTATTTTCTATTTCCATAGGAATTGAATTTAGCTGTTTACTTGATACTAACGCCCCTTATTCGCGTCTCCTCTTTGTCTCATATTTAGATGTTTACCACAAAAGATTTACAACTGATCTACCATCATTAGAAGGTTTACCTCCTATTCAGCGATACCTGAGGATCTTTTCCTCTAACTCTGGATTAAATGGTTCCATATATTAATAATTTTCAAGAGAGAAATGAAATCGTTTGTCTCTCGATGCATCATCAGCTGAAGGCGACTAGCAGTATGATACGTCGCTAGTCCAAAGTGACTACATCGTAAGACAAACGATTACATTTCTCTTTTGAAAGTGCCTTTTACCACGATGACTAACCAAAACCTATTTCACGATACAAATAACTGTTACTGTCATGCGTAAGGTATTTTTTTGATAAGGTTGAAACTGTGAAGTAATGTTAAGGTGCACCTTGAGGTGTCACAGACACCCCACGATGAGCTCTGCCATGACAAGGTCTAAATGAGTCACGCGTCTTGCACACAGTTACGATAAACAATATCGAAAGCGTCATATTCGCGAACAGAATAAAAAAGAGACAAGACGAATAAACACCTCTCTCTCTCCCAACCACTTTACTTAACTCAAAATTTATCATCTTTCTTAATTGAAAGGTTGTTGGAAGTTCTCAGTCAACCCTAGAAATAGACAGTTATCTCTTTCAGAGATTTATCTTTATACAATACCAAATCAAGAGAGTGAGAGAGAGAGCCTTAAATTTAGAGTGGGCAGGGCAATATACTCATATCATGTCCCACACTGGGTCACAGGTCTAAACGTGAGTTTTTGTTTTGCGCGGGAAAACACGAGAAAATGCGTGAAGACACGCCGTCGATTCGGTGTTACTTTTCTCTAGTGTTCTCTCACTTCAATGTTTTTATAAACGTTATGAGCATTTTGCCATTCGTCGAAGCAACGGGCACCAACTAAGAACCAAAGTAATCTAAACGAACTTGCCGATAATGTGGAAATAACGAGAATGTCCACTTCATATGTCACGCGCGTGAAACGAGAACGTATCTGACTCCTCGCGAGGATTCTTTATTTTAATGTTTTCATTTAATTTTCATTAAACCATACTCGCAGTGGCGTAGCTGAAAACTAGTCGTTATACCAAGTGTGCAGATCACTTAAATAAATAAAGTGATTAAGTCTCAAACATACATTTTTCTTTATACTTGTAACCGAGTGACAGCACAAAATAATGAGGAGTGCATTACTTTATTGCGCTTGAGTAACTCTGTTGCGTATCAGGTCGAACGTGTAAACAAGCGCTAACAGGATTAATCCATTTTTAAATCGAGAATGCTTGAACGTGATGCTTCCTGTGTTTAACAATGACCCAACTTAATACTTTTATTGTCTTCTGGACAAACGAGGATTAAACAATGCAAAACTAGAAAACGTGATCAAGATTTTATTCACGTACGCTCGAAGAAACGTGATTAACGGATTTTCTTATCTTTGTAGGTGAAAGTTCACTGATTTCTCTGCTGTAACTGTCAATGTTTTGGCATAGTATGAAAAAACCACGGGTCGTTATTCGCTCCTGACAAAATATTATATTCTCTTGCTCCTGACTAACACGCCTTCCCCGGTTCTTCTTAACTGGTCGGAACCTTTTCTTACAATTTTCGTATTAGTGTGTTCAGGGCCTTACTGACTCTCGCACCGTCAACCGAAAAGAGATAGGAGAAATTACAGTTCATGACGCCGTAAAACAATCAGTTAATCAAAGAAATCGTTAAATCAAATCGATGCTACTTTTTGTTGAAAAATCATTACACTAAATTGCCGATGAAATTCTGAGTTTTTCTTTGATTATAATTAGTTTTAAAGGTAGTTGAGAAAGTTGCAAAAAAAATGCTGGTTGAGAAATTTGCCAGATTTTGACAAGCTTTTGTGTTCGGCTTTACAGTACGCGAAAATGGTTGTTGTGCTGTTTGTTTATTAAATTCTGGAAACTTCGAATTCAAATGAAGTCTCATTTCGTGAAGAGACCGCCGCTTTGTAGGGAACAATGGGCTGAATTACAGGTTGAGAGGAGATTGCTTTATATTTCCTGGCCGCTTTGAAACAAATCATATTTGGGCTATAAGTTACATTTCCACTTATGAGCTCGACTTTGAAAGCTATCCAAAGTTATCCATTAAGACAGCCCAGCACAAAAACCCATTTTTCCACGCGGATGCCCAATAAACCTCTTCTAAAATTGGTATCTAGAAGGGTACGTAATTAATTGCCAAGTTTATTGATCTTTTATTTGCAGTTCTATTTTGAACAGTTAGTGATGAATTGCACACACACGTCACAATGGCAAAGTTAATACCTTGATTGCAGTAATTTGACCTTGAACTTCTGTAAAAGAAAGGAAATTTTATTAACTGTCGGGAAGACGGATTTATGCAGAGTGTAATTAAGGGCGCTTGTTTGTTTATAATTTAATAGATGTAAAGTGGTAAGGTATGGCATTTGCTAACATGGAGTTCAGAGTTTCTGCGCCTTCTAGATTTACTGGATTAACACCAGCCGTTGCAGGCTCACGGAGAACCAGTCACATTTTTATCGCTCCAACAAAAGGAACATTTACAAGAAACGGTATTTACGCAGTCGAGGAACCGATCAAAAGAGCCCCAAAGCGACCGAAAGCTAAAGACTACGAAATCATCTACAAAGCGTACCTGGAGATAAGGGAAGAAAATGGTGCTTTAAGGCAAGACGGTCAACAGTTACGAGATGAACTTCTGCAAACGAAATCGAAACTTCTTGTTCTTTCCCAGGAAAACGAAGAACTAAAGGCCCAAATTTCTCAGCTTCCGTTCCCTGAAAACTGGGGACAGGTTATCCGAGGAAAAGACGAGGAATTGAAAAGACTGAAAGAATCAATTCATAAAATGTCGTACGACCGAGCTGAAGCAATCAACAACAAGTCTGTGGCAGAACTGGCCGTCGATGAACTGAAATTGAAACTTCGCAACAAGGTTAAAGAAGTAAAAGACGCAAAGGAGTTGGAGAAAGTTCAGAGCAAAGCAAAAATTCTCAACGAGACAGAGAAGTTGCGAAACGAGAGAAACATCGCCGTCGCCAATCTCACACGTCTTGAAGTTGTTGTCGACAAGCTTCGCCAGGAAGCCGGCCACGAGAAACGAATAAGCGAAGAAAGAAAAATGGTAATTCAAGAAATACACAAGAGACTTACAAGCAAAGAAAAGCATGTTGACGATCTACGAAAACAACTCGCTTTGTCGCGTCTTTTTAGCAAGTAGAACTAAACAGTTCATTGTGACACAAACACGTGAAATTATCATCTTGGTTCATTTTTCCGAATAATGCAGAGAGTAAATTGTGTTGTTCATGCGAGGACAAGATAGAACTGAATGTAATTTTAACTGACAAACCCGAGACACACATTGTGTTTGCCTAGGAAACTCGAAAGGAAGTTGATGTAAATGTTAATGTATATATGTTCGTTTCACGAAGCAGCAGCAAAACGTTAAATATTTATTTTTGAAAATGGAAGCTTAATGTTGTGAAAACAAGTGAGTATTTTGAATGGGAGTGTATTAGCACTGTACGTAGAGGAAAAGTAATAATTTCAAAATGACTCTATAAAATGGAAGAAAAATCTCAACTGATGGTGATGTGTGCTGCTCAAGAATGAAAAATGGATCATCATGGGCTAACTGCAATTGATCCGAAGAAAACGCAAAACTGAAGCCTGAGAAAAAATTCAGAGTTCAACGGGGCTCAACCCCGTGCCTGCTGGAGATTTTTTACTAACAACTAAGCTACGAAATCATCTGTTGGTAACGAGTTCTCCTATAAGCTCCCCGCCCCCCCAGATCTTTTCATCTATCTTTTCTCTCGCACTCTCAGTGGCACTCTAACATTCGTTTTAAATCATGAATCCGTTTATTAAGTGTTATTTAAGAAAAGTTGTGATCTTTGTACAAAGGCAACTCAAAACAAAGTCATTTCTGTGTTCCAATAAACGCTGAGGAGGGCGCCAATCAATTCCTTTTCATTCTGGGCCAGTTTGACGATAGTCAAATGATAAGGTCCGGTTGCCAACGATGAGAGCAACTGGCTGCGAATCAATCAGTAAGCGGAAGAGGGGATTAAGGGTAAGGCAGCGTCGTCCTCTCTACCCTCACCCCCTCCTCGCTCTCTTTCTCCTCGCTTCGCACGAACTTGGAATAGGGAGCCAGTTTACAGGCTAGTTTCCCGCCGGCTGACACGACAGTAACGTACTTTTACCCAATGGTTTCCCATGTGTTTTAATGAGTGCTTAAGACGCATGGACGAAGCCGGGAATGAGTGAGGACAACCGAAAACAGGCCAATGAGACCAGTCTACACGTAAAGAGAATCTAATAATCAACCAAATTTATCCGCCTTGTTTAGTAAATTCACATAAACATATGGGAATTTATTACAAAAAGGAAAACGCTCGGAAAATAACGGACAACACTCAATCAACTCTTAAATTTGTTAGTCAATTCCAACCATTAGCCTCAAGAAGAAAGCAATTTTTTTGTGACAGCTACATGTCACATGTAATAGACTTCTATGAAATTTTGCTATTTACCATATAGATCCCATGTTGTTGTGCGTCTGTTCAGTAATAGATCACAGATGACGTAAAATTGTGGTAAAAAAAAAGAGGCACACGAGGGGTGGCCGAGTGTGTCACTGATTTGAAGTCTTCTGTGATCTATTACTGTAAAGACACGGCAACATGGAAACTATTTTTTCTATAAGATAAAGGCAAAATGTTATTTATGGTAACGTCATCTTTGCCTCTGTACCATACAATAAATCATAAGACCCAATCAAATTGCGCGCACGATTCAGCCAATCATATAAAAGATTACAATCCACACGCTTATACTTGTTTATTAAATAGAATTTTATTTTTACCTTTTTGTTGATATATGGTTACCCCGTTGTCATGATGGCAAGACGAACAAGTTAACAAAAGTAGCCATATTCAGAAAATTATGAAGATTTTGAACCTCTTACAATAATAAAAAAATCAAATCATGTAATCATTTAGACTTTATAAGATGCCTTATATAATCTCAATCATTATTTTCCTCAGTATTATTTTATTTTATTATTTAATCTCAATTATTATTTTGCTTAGTAATACCCCTGTATCAATTAATATTTCAGAGATTAAAATGTTCTTTTAGGATCACACATCATCATATTGTTCTCATCTACTTACCAGGTTGAAACTCAAAAAGGCCTTTCACATATCTTGACCAAACTAAAATATAGATTCATTATGTTTTGGAGTTTCAACTCTAAGTCCCAATTACAATACTTGCCCCGGATGAATCTTGGACAAATTTAAAAGCGAGTCCGTCACACCTCAGAGATTCAACTACAATTTCTAATGAAGACTCCTGTTAATTTTGGAATGTTATCTTAGAAATTCCATGCACTGAAGCGCAACTTGACTGGATGTCGTCAAACTAAAACCAAAATAATCGCAACTGCCAATAGAAAAAAATTATGTGGATATTATCCGTTTACGAAAATAAAAGGATCTGTGCGGAGCTTAAAAAAAATGGAACAATGGGCTTTTAATTTCACTAACTAGTTTTTTTTTCCACTTTTAAATTTTCATCTTCCGTGCCATCGTTCGTGTGGCCGCTTCCCAGTTGGCTCCAAATTCCAGTCGGGAGTAAAGAAGAGGAATCTTCCTTTCCTGGATCTTAACCCACTTGAGCGCTTTTGTGATGTCTTTGGAATACTTCACTCCCAAACCACCAACAGTTACCTAGAAGACAAAACGTCAAACTAAAAAACCTGCCCTTGAAAAAACAATAACTGGGCCTTTAGGACTTTGCCAACAGGTCCCAGACCCTACGCTAATAATAATTTTTCAGTGATACGATTTGGTTCCCAGTGTCCAGGAAGGTTTCCCGGCGTACATAAAAAAAAACACAAAACAAAACACGAAGACACGGAGAACGAAGTTTGAGACTGCTAAGATTCAGTAAGTAAGGAGTTTTTTCCCTATCTATATCACCTAAATAGAGCCAATTAATGACTGTCCTATCACGTTACGTTGCGTTAAAGATTCTTAATTTCGCTAAAGGGGCATTTGAACGCGTTCACCATTGTTGCGTCTTAAAGGACGCGTATCACTTTAGGAGACTTGCCATCAAAACGCTTTGTTAATTTTTTTCCCAGCTATACTACCAGGAGAACCTGTCCAGGAATTCTTGTTTTAGCTGCCAACGTCTTCCATTGATGAATTAACAGCTTGTTCAGGTTATTGGAGCTAATTTTAACGATTGGTTAAGCACTCTAAGTTCTAACCAAAAGACAACAGTGCCTCAAAATATTGAGACAAATTCTCACCTCAGACTCAGGTTGTCCGAATGGAAGCGTGAGTGGGAACTCGACATGAAGCCTCAGTTTCATGAACGCCAACATCATGAAGGTGGCCAGAAGTCTTTTCACGCTTTCAAAAACTTTAAGACCTGCAGTGTATCGCGTGAAATGCCGTGTAAAACAATAAATCAGGGAATTACTTCTTAATTTGGCTGCATTAAAATTTGTCTTCCTCATCAAAGTTCAACGAAAGTTTTACGGAAAATTATCCATTTTCGAAATTTTCATAGCCTCTGTTTTAAAACGTAGGTAATTGCTAAGCCTTTGGAATTAAATAATTCCTCACTTTGATTGGCTCGCCTAGCAGTCTCTGTTTCTTTTCAGACAAACGGGAGAAGCACAAGGCTCAAGGAGGGAAGAATCAAGAGCGTAGGAGAGGGGTAGGAAGAGAGAGAAACTAAATCCTGGTTAAATTTTGCCCGATCTCGAAAAAATTCGAAGCATAAATTAGAATTAATCTGTATAAAATCTACAAAAGAATCGGCAAATTCCCACATTGTTAATGTCGCCACGTTCAAGATAAGTCTCAATTTAGCACCTCGGTAGAATCTTCTGTTGTCGCTGATAAGGTTGGTAGAAATGTAATGAAATAAAGATTTCAACACAAGATCTTGTACTGAAGGAAAGGCGTTTGACTATGTTTTACTCTTTCAATTGTGTACCCGTCTTAGATAAAACAACAGCAACAATACAGAACAGAACAGAAGCGTACCAAGAGACCTGGCACCAGCACCTGCCAGCAAATCAGTAAAGCCTTGTGTGTCTATACCAATGATAGGCAAGTCATCCACATTCCAGAAACCCTCCTGAAAAACACCAAAAAGCTCATCAAATAAAAAAAATCGACAAATTTTATTAAAAAATATAAGCTGTACTGTTTATATCATTGAAACCAAAGGACTCTTGGGCTGTACCTGAAACACACTTAAGGTCGAGGGCAAAGAATTCTCCCTTACCTGGATTCTTTACACCATAAATGGTGATTCTTGCTTAAGAATCTTTTTCTTACACTGACGTTTGGGAAGCTTGTTTTACCAAAGGAAGACAGAATTTACAATTATTTACGACTAAATTAGTTACGGTCATGGGACTGAGGGGAGCCATAGTATCACACGACTGTTATAACATAAGAATATTCATTATTTTGAAGTTAACAGGCTATTACCAAACCTCCTTTTTATAAGGAGTAATGGAACTGTAATTTTTACAACTACAGTTCCAAAATAATACCAATTCCTAAACAAATCTCTGGCCGATAAAGTAAATTATTTACTATGCGGTAAATTACTGGATATGATCAATGATTCGATTTGAGGAGTAAGGAGTTATCAATATGTATCATTTAAAAATAATTTATGATATAACAATTCAAACTTGCATTTGGGGGATGATATTACAATCAAGGAAATTTCAATTGCTGATTCATAGCAAAATTGCATGTCCCCACGTAGTCTCTAGCCGTTACAGTTAGTTCTAAGGAAGAGAGTTGAGGTTTAAGGTTCGGAAAACCAACTGGAATTTGCCCAGATCAGTTTGATGATGGAAATATGACGAAATCCCACCTAGATTGTGTGACTTTAACCAATGGAAAATAAGCACCCTTTATTGGATAATCGTATGCATTTTGCGATACTTACCGAATTTTGTGCAGTAAATATCCGTTCTAGCTTTTCGCACTTATCTGGAAAGACGGCTTTCCTCAGCCCTCGACGTTTCTTCGCTACAGATCTCACACAGTGGATCCCCTCGTATGTTGAACCGATCGAGGGAGGGGGTTTTGACCCGACAGAAAGAAGTTTAGAGCTGCCTGCTGCTGAACAGGCCGGAGGAGGAGGAGGAGGGGGGGGAGCCCCAAATCCGGTTACTGCAGTTGTGGTTGCAGATGCTGACTGCTTAGAGGCTACTGTTACTCCCTTTAGCGTCTTGCTCACTCCAAGTAAATCTTTCATCAACGACGCTCTAGCTGGTACAACGGTTGGAGGACGAGAGCCCCTTGGGCGGAGAGTAGGGCGGTGCAAGGGTGCAGGGGAAGCAGGTGGTGGTGGTGGTGGAGCAGGAGGTGGAGGAAGAGGCTGTTGGAAAGATGTTTCCTGTTTTAACATTGGCTCTGCATTCATTGGAACTGCTCCATCTCCTTTGATAGTTGCTGGTATCTCTTGCCTCACTTCCTCTTCCATCCGACGATCTGCTCTGTTTAATGTGGAACGAGAGCTACATGGATCGGTTGCAGCTTTCAGTGGCTGGGAAAACATTTTGATCTGCTGCGAATTACCAAATAATCCACCAGTTTGTGGAAAATTTAAGGGGTTTCGCTGCAACGTCTGAAATCGGGCAAACGTAGAACTACCAGATGACTGAGCTGAATTAGACATCTCCATATTCTGCAGACTAGAACCTGAGCGTCTTCCAACAACTGGGGGCACTGCTTCCTTTTCCATGAACGTTGGTATCTCTTGAATTGCTTTCTTTTTGGATGAATCAAATAATCCATCATCTTCTCCCGACTTACCAAATAATTGGTTTCGCTGTGACTGCTGTGAAATCTTCATATTCTGTCCACCAAAACGACAAGATCTTCCAAAAGGAATACCTTCTCTTTGAACAATTCTTCCTCCAAAGGTAACAGGTGCTGCCTTCTTTGATAATGGTTCTTGTGGCTGTTGTAACTTGTCAGACAAACCGGAACCAGCTTGGCACGAAGATGCCTCAGTGGTAGGAAGAGCTGCGAGCTTTGATGTGAAAGCAAAACCAGGTGCTTCAAAGGCAGACACGCCGTCTCTTGTAATTACATTAGAAGGATAATCCTGTCTTGGGAGCAAGAATGCCGATGATGAGGACGAAGCGACTCTTTGCGTAACCAGAGAAGCATCATCGCCTCGCTCCATTTGCGGTTTGTAACTTTCTTTCTTTTCTGCCTTCTTGCTCTCATCTACTTAAGGGAATAAATCAAAGAATAAAACAATAATTAGTAGCCAGATTAAGTTACGACTAAGAATACCTATCTTTGTGTTCGTTTAAAGCTGGGAAATCCACACAAAAAAATTATGGAATGTTCATCTGAAACCTATCAGAGTAGTTTATTCTATTTTAAGACAGACAGTCCTGAATAAAAATATGTGAACTGGCGCTCTTTTCCATCAAAAACGCTACTAAACTGACTTTTCTTTTGGTCAGGGAGCACAAACTCGTATCGAAGAAAATATGGAACAAATTCTTAGTATGAAATGTCGAGAAATGTTTGGTTTGTCAAGTGAAGTTTGAAGCAATAAATGAAAACAAAGGAGCGATAACCTCAAAATTGTGACTTCTGGTAGACTCTTCGATTCGCCTTTCAAATTGTCTCTTTTTTATTTGTAAAACCCGAGGAGAATTTGATTTTTAATCAGAGATGACCTACGATTTTTTATGTACACGCATCCCAGGACTTTTTATCTTCAAAAGTTAATGTTCGATTAGAAAAACTCTCCTGCGCAAATTGTCCGACTGCAGCCAAGAAATTGACGGAATTGTACCAAACCAATTTTAGTTAAATAGTGCGCCGTAATAATTATTTATTTAGTGCAGATCAAAAAATATTCATAACAATAAGGTTTTCTCAAGTAATGTGCCATGAAATTTGAAGTCATACCAACTCATACTGATGATCGGAGGAATGACGACCTGAATTTTTTTATAGTATAGACTTCTTCTTGATTGATAGGGGGAATGTCATTTTCACCTTTCAAATTTCACTTTTATAGCTCGAAGAACCAGTTACTGCATCAATCTTTGAAAGATTACCAGATAAAGCGGTTCCTTTTAATGAAATGTTATACATTTCCCGAAAGTCACCAAGCCAAGCAAGTGGCTTTAAAAAAGTTGACAAGACGTAGTTACATCCTAACATCAGTGTGCATATTATCCTTACTATTCTCCACACATTTCCTAATGTGCTGACAAGGAGAATTTGTTAAACAATCAAGACCTTCTTAACTGGCGATCATTTCCTTTATTCTCCAGACCTTAATGTGTGATTCAGGTGTGATATTGTAAGGAGAAAGTAGATGCTTGTCACACTTAGGGGTCAAAAGGTTAACTATCATCACCCATCAAACTGACTAGTAAGAGAAAACACGTTCTACTGTACCTTCGGTCCTCGTTTTAGAGGCTGAATTCATGTCTCTCGTGATTACCAGCGGGGAGGGCGCCTCTGAAGCTTCCTCTTCCTCATCCTCATCCATGCCTGTAAGTTGAAAATATAATTCGTATTTTGATATTTAATTTATGTTGTCACGGTGTAGTTAGCTTCTTTGCTCCTTTTTGTCTATCCTTATCCCAGAAAATTATCATGTTGAGGTTTCCATCAATATTCTCTATTTGATAAATCCCAAGAAATAAACAGAGGGAAAGTACATTCCTCTCCCTGGCTCCCGCAATGATTATGTGTACTTTTCTACTGTACTAAGTTTGAACTTCGAACTTCGTGTAATGATAACACTTTACGCAGTCTACATTGTAACACGCAGGCACAGTTTTGCACAACGAAAATAAGCAAGCAAACAAACAAGTAGAATTCAAGCTAACTCTAATAAAAGAACGAAGACAAAGAAAACATTAAAATCACGAGATTAACTTTAACCTCTTGAGAACACAGCCATGCGCGCCCTGGCTCGCCTAAATGCCTCAGGTTTTCTCTCGGCGTCACGAGTGCCGATGCTCTTCACCGGCTCAGGCTTTGATTCACTCTCTGTATCCATGTCTGTTTGGACAGAAACAGGATCATGTTAGTGGCAATAAGTTTTTTTTCTTTTTCTTTTGGAGAATGCAGAGTAACATCCATTGGAAAATCATCCTTTGTAGTTGTCCGCCCAAAATAAGAAACTCTGTTCTGTCGAACTTTGTAAAAATCGTCACACTCTGTAATACCTGTCGCACTATTTAAAAAAATTGTCGCACTTTGTAATACCTGGCGACCTTTACAAAAACTTTATGTCGCGCTTCGTAACAAAAAAGCTGTCGCTCTTTGTAATAATAAATTATCGCACTTGGTAAGAAAGTACGCTTTTTGAAATTTTTTCCTCCAACCTCGAGCCTTTAATGGGCCGTAATAATTATTTGCAAATTAAAAAATCTTCACAACAATAAGGTTTTCTCAAGTAATGTGCCTTGAAATTTGAAGTCATACCAACTCATACTGATGATCGAAGGAATGACGGCCTGAATTTTTTCATAGTGAAAGACTTCTTCTTGATTGATAGGGGGAATGTCATTTTCACCTTTCAAATTTCACTTTTATAGCTCAAAGAACCAGTTACTGCATCAATCTTAGAAAGATTACCAGATAAAGCGGTTCCTTTTAATGAAATGTTATACATTTCCCGAAAGTCACCAAGCCAAGCAAGTGGCTTTAAAAAAGTTGACAAGACGTAGTTACATCCTAACATCAGTGTGCATATTATCCTTACTATTCTCCACATATTTCCTACTGCGCTGACAAGGAGAATTTGTCAAACAATCAAGAGCTTCTTAATTGGCGATCATTTCCTTTATTCTCGACACCTTAATGTGTGATTCAGGTGTGATATTGTAAGGAGAAATTAGATGCTTGTCACACTTAGGGGTCAAAAGGTTAACTATCATCACCTATTAAACTGACTAGTAAGAGAAAACACGTTCTACTGTACCTTCGGTCCTCGGTTTAGTGGCTGAATCCATGTCTCTCGTGATTACCCGCGGGGAGGGCGCCTCTGAAGCTTCCTTTTCCTTATCCATGTCTGTAAGTTGAAAATATAATTCGTATTTTGATATTTAATTTATGTTGTCACGGTGTAGTTAGCTTCTTTGCTCCTTTTTGTCTATCCTTATCCCAGAAAACTATCATGTTGAGGTTTCCATCAATATTCTCTATTTGATAAATCCCAAGAAATAAACAGAGGGAAAGTACATTCCTCTCCCTGGCTCCCACAATGATTATGTGTACTTTTCTACTGTACTAAGTTTGAACTTCGAACTTCGTGTAATGATAACACTTTACGCAGTCTACATTGTAGCACGCAGGCACAGTTTTGCACAACGAAAATAAGCAAGCAAACAAATTAGTAGAAATCAAGCTAACTCAGATCAATATAAGTATTTGGGCAACTGCCCACCTACCCCTCCCCTAAGCCAACATTAACCTTAACTTGTTGTCAACTGACTGTTGTTGAGTTAGGGGAGGGGTGGGTGGGCGGGCAGTTGCCCAGATACTGATATTGATACGCTAACTCTAATAAAAGAACGAAGACAAAGAAAACATTAAAATCACGAGATTAACATTAACCTCTTAAGGACACAGCTATGGGTGGCATCGCCCCAGATCGCCTTTTTACCCTAGGTTTTCTCTCGGCGTCACGAGTGCCGATGCTCTTCACCGGCTCAGGCTTTGATTCACTCTCTGTATACATGTCTGTTTGGACAGAAACAGGATCGTGTTAGTGGCAATAAGTTTTTTTTTCTTTTGGAGAATGCAGAGTAACATCCATCGGAAAATTATCCTTCGTAGTTGTCCGCCCAAAATTAGAAACTCTGTTCTGTCGAACTTTGTAATAATCGTCACACTCTGTAATACCTGTCGCACTATGTAAAAAAATTGTCGCACTTTGTAATACCTGGCGACCTTTACAAAAACTTTTCGTCGCACTTCGTAACAAAAAAGCTGTCACTCTTTGTAATAATAAATTATCGCACTTGGTAAGAAAATACGCTTTTTGAAATTTTTTCCTCCAACCTCGAGCCTTTAATGGGCCGTAATAATTATTTGCATATCAAAAAATCTTCACTACAATAAGGATTTCTCAAGTAATGTGCCATGAAATTTGAAGTCATACCAACTCATACTGATGATCGGAGGAATGACGGCCTGAATTTTTTCATAGTGAAAGACTTCTTCTAGATTGATAGGGGGAATGTCATTTTCACCTTTCAAATTTCACTTTTATAGCTCAAAGAACCAGTTACTGCATCAATCTTTGAAAGATTACCAGATAAAGCGGTTCCTTTTAATGAAATGTTATACATTTCCCGAAAGTCACCAAGCCAAGCAAGTGGCTTTAAAAAAGTTGACAAGACGTAGTTACATCCTAACATCAGTGTGCATATTATCCTTACTATTCTCCACACATTTCCTACTGCGCTGACAAGGAGAATTTGTTGAACAATCAAGAGCTTCTTAATTGGCGATCATTTCCTTTATTCTCGACACTTTAATGTGTGATTCAGGTGTGATATTGTAAGGAGAAATTAGATGCTTGTCACACTTAGGGGTCAAAAGGTTAACTATCATCACCCATTAAACTGACTAGTAAGAGAAAACACGTTCTACTGTACCTTGGGTCCTCGGTTTAGTGGCTGAATCCATGTCTCTCGTGATTACCCGCGGGGAGGGCGCCTCTGAAGCTTCCTTTTCCTTATCCATGCCTGTAAGTTGAAAATATAATTCGTATTTTGATATTTAATTTATGTTGTCACGGTGTAGTTAGCTTCTTTGCTCCTTTTTGTCTATCCTTATCCCAGAAAACTGTCATGTTGAGGTTTACATCAATATTCTCTATTTGATAAATCCCAAGAAATAAACAGAGGGAAAGTACACTCCACTCCCTGGCTCCCGCAATGATTATGTGTACTTTTCACTGTACTAAGTTTGAACTTCGAACTTCGTGTAATGATAACACTTTACGCAGTCTACATTGTAGCACGCAGGCACAGTTTTGCACAACGAAAATAAGCAAGCAAACAAATTAGTAGAAATCAAGCTAACTCAGATCAATATAAGTATTTGGGCAACTGCCCACCTACCCCTCCCCTAAGCCAACATTAACCTTAACTTGTTGTCAACTGACTGTTGTTGAGTTAGGGGAGGGGTGGGTGGGCGGGCATTGCCCAGATACTGATATTGATACGCTAATTCTAATAAAAGAACGAAGACAAAGAAAACATTAAAATCACGAGATTAACATTAACCTCTTAAGGACACAGCCATGGGTGTCATCGCGCTACGTCGCCTTAATGCCTGAAGTTTTCTCTCGGCGTCACGAGTGCCGATGCTCTTCACCGGCTCAGGCTTTGATTCACTCTCTGTATACATGTCTGTTTGGACAGAAACAGGACCATGTTAGTGGCAATAAGTTTTTTTTTTCTTTTGGAGAATGCAGAGTAACATCCATCGGAAAATTATCCTTCGTAGTTGTCCGCCCAAAATTAGAAACTCTGTTCTGTCGAACTTTGTAATAATCGTCACACTCTGTAATACCTGTCGCACTATGTAAAAAAATTGTCGCACTTTGTAATACCTGGCGACCTTTACAAAAACTTTTCGTCGCACTTCGTAACAAAAAAGCTGTCACTCTTTGTAATAATAAATTATCGCACTTGGTAAGAAAATACGCTTTTTGAAATTTTTTCCTCCAACCTCGAGCCTTTAATGGGCCGTAATAATTATTTGCATATCAAAAAATCTTCACTACAATAAGGATTTCTCAAGTAATGTGCCATGAAATTTGAAGTCATACAAACTCATACTGATGATCGGAGGAATGACGGCCTGAATTTTTTCATAGTGAAAGACTTCTTCTTGATTGATAGGGGAAATGTCATTTTCACCTTTCAAATTTCACTTTTATAGCTCAAAGAACCAGTTACTGCATCAATCTTTGAAAGATTACCAGATAAAGCGGTTCCTTTTAATGAAATGTTATACATTTCCCGAAAGTCACCAAGCCAAGCAAGTGGCTTTAAAAAAGTTGACAAGACGTAGTTACATCCTAACATCAGTGTGCATATTATCCTTACTATTCTCCACATATTTCCTACTGCGCTGACAAGGAGAATTTGTCAAACAATCAAGAGCTTCTTAATTGGCGATCATTTCCTTTATTCTCGACACCTTAATGTGTGATTCAGGTGTGATATTGTAAGGAGAAATTAGATGCTTGTCACACTTAGGGGTCAAAAGGTTAACTATCATCACCCATTAAACTGACTAGTAAGAGAAAACACGTTCTACTGTACCTTGGGTCCTCGGTTTAGTGGCTGAATCCATGTCTCTCGTGATTACCCGCGGGGAGGGCGCCTCTGAAGCTTCCTTTTCCTTATCCATGTCTGTAAGTTGAAAATATAATTCGTATTTTGATATTTAATTTATGTTGTCAAGGTGTAGTTAGCTTCTTTGCTCCTTTTTGTCTATCCTTATCCCAGAAAACTATCATGTTGAGGTTTCCATCAATATTCTCTATTTGATAAATCCCAAGAAATAAACAGAGGGAAAGTACATTCCACTCCCTGGCTCCCGCAATGATTATGTGTACTTTTCTTTCCCAAGACAAAAATTTTCCGTAAAATATCGATATAATATCAACCAGATAAGTGATAAGAATAAGAAAAATATCAATTTGGGGATAATTAGTTGATCCAATACTAAATTCTCTGAACTAACATTATAAGAATTGTATGGTTAACAGTAAGGAGAATTACAAATTTGATCTGGGAGTTAAAGGGTTAAATAATGGCCGCTCCCTTGGTGTAAGTTTCCTCGTACCTTGCTGGTCCATTTCACAGAATTCAAGCGCCTCTTCATCCAGAAGTTCTGCCTCCGCCCCCAAATCATAATTGTCGCTACTATCCCCAGAGGAGAAGGCACTACCTTCTGAAGGATCACTCCAGTCGGAATCTTTGTTTGTGGAATTCCGCGGCACTTCGACATCGAGACTACAATCGAAAAAATGTATAATCGCGGATGAGGGAGAAATTCTCAAATTGATTTTCTCTTGTTGATGTTCTTATTTACCTCATGGTATCGATCAATTTCCAGCTTTTTATATTTTCGCTTAGAAGAAAAATTTAAAAGTCCCTTTTTGTTGTTGAAATGTACATGTGAATGTAAATGTTAATGTAGGGGAAGATTCAAAGGTCAGGTTCCATTAGAAAAACACGATCTTCAACTGCAAACGATTGGTAAAGTGTTCGATTGAGAGAATGACTGAACCACTTCCAACTCAAACAAGCTGCAAACTGAAAAGGTTGATCCCGATGAAAAATAACCAAAGTATAGCTTGCCACAGGAAACCAGACCATCGCGTGAAATCAAGAAAGTTGTTTAGTAATTGTCATCACATGAATAGGAAATATCAGCGACAGTTAACGACAACCCTTCATGACGAGTTATAACTTTTAAGAAAACTTTAGGCAAAAAGACCTATTTTACGGACTCAAAAAAGTGTGATCACATATTATCACCCGTTCTACTCCGTGCTTCGAGAAAAAGCAAAAAATGAAAATGTTTTATTCCTAGCAAGCAACAGGTTTAGTTAAGTTTAGTTCAAACTTCGATCCAAGGGTTAGGGGTTAAGTAAAGGAGGGGAGTAGAGGGGAGGAGAGGGGAGGGGAGGGGAGGGGGAGGGGGAGGGGAAGGGGAGGAAGGGGAGGGACTGACAAAAGATGTAACTTGTCCTATGAAGTGACAGTCACAGTCATGATAATTAAACACTATAATATATATATATATATGGAATCCGTATCAATGTTTCTATCCTTCACTATATCCTTGTACTTTCTTAGTGAGTCTTTCCTTCGTTTTGGTCTTTCTGTCGCGCAAAATGAAGGTAGTTTGTCCAAGTGCCAAAAGTAACTTAAAATATAATGATGTAGGAGAAAAGGAATAAGTACGCTCTTACCTGAAATCACTGTCAGCCGAGTCGCTTTCTTCAAAAATTCGACAAGCCTTCTCCTCTTCACCCATCAAAGTGTACAGGTTTGAAAGGGCTTTTATTGCCTGTGTTAAAAAAGAAAATAAACATGACTAAACGGCCAGAAATACTCTTCATTGTTGGTTTTAAAGACAAAGACAGTCAAGGACTCCAGAGGCAACTTATTCGTGCCTTAACATCGTTTGTATACGAGGCTGACCTACACAGCTGCTGTAGTTGAGCTCGGGCGCTGTGGAATGAAGCAACTTGGAGTACTTCTCCTGAATAAAATGTCAGTCCACCACAGGTTACCACATCCCATCCACCAATTTCCTTGGATGTTACTTACAGTTCAATGGCTATCATTTACCACTGGGTTGAGAGAAGGAGGAGAGGGTTGTTCAATATAAATTATCTAGCCCAAGAATACAACACGAAGAACCAGAACCCAACCTATTCGCTTCGAAGTTCAGTAGGCTAACCACTTGACAAATACGTCTCTCTTGCATCTCGTGGCGTGTCTTTGTCTACTCTACCACACTTTAGTCATGAACGACCAGAAACAGACAAGTAGACAAAAAAACCATGGAAATCAAATAGGCCCAGTTTACCTTAACTGTCACTGGCTGATCAGCACCGAGGTTTTCCTTCGCTTCTTCAATAATTTCTTTGTAAAGGCGCTCGCACTGTAAAACTGAGCTTGTCTCCAACACCTTCGCCTCTTGGAGCTTTTTCTCTAGTTTCTCTTCAATATTCTGTGTTTGGGACGTGGAGGGCAATCATGCAGATTTGCACATAACGACAAAATTACAATCTTAGCCTTGACCTCCAAAATCATTTTAACAAAACACCAAACCCCGAAAACGCTTTTCTTTTTGTTAAGTTAAAAACCTCTCCCAACAAGGAGTGACTTAAAAAGAAGTTTGTCTTTACAAGATCTATACATTTTCAAGCAGAAAGCTGATGGGAAGAAAGGAATACCAGAATATCAACTAGGGGATGTTGTTTGATTTGACAGTAAATTCTCCGAGCCTAAAATGAGAAATATGTCCTGGAAAATGGAGAAAATTTATAGCTAGATCTTGGGACTAAGGTCATAAAAAAAACAAGATATAAGGCTTTGCAGTAAGCTCGATTTGAAGGCTACTGCTGAAAAAGGACCATTCTTACCAGTTCCTGATTTTTCTCCATTAAAGGTCGACTCTCCCAAGCTATGTATTCCAATATGTCTACATCTTCCGTAGAGACCAACTCGAGTATACTCGGTCCCTGGCCCTCCTTGAATTTCTCGTCCTATAAGAGGGAAACGGAAAAGCAACACACATGTTGTCAAGAAGTTTGTGAGGTTATATGGGTAATTCAACTCCAGCCAATACTCCTTTAAACAGGGTTTCAACGAGACGTATACTCTGGAAACCTTATCATTCATGTTATTAAAACGCATTTACATGTAAATTCTTAGCTTACCCCTATTTGAGATTCCATAGAGTTATCTCGCAATTCGAAAATTTTCTCCTAATGCTTTAAAAATTCGACTTTAGACTCCGCCATTTTGAAAACAATTCAGTAAAATGGGAACGCACACATAACCTAGGTGCAACGGTTCACATTCTGCCGCTCCTGAAGCTTCAAACAAATTGGCGAGAGATGGAAGAGTGGGGAATGAGCCTTGTTATGTCACAGGTAAGCAGCCAGATCGCTAAGAAAGATTTAATATGGCGACCTCCATGGTCGAATCTTCAGCAAATTGAAAAAAGACTTAGAAAGGCTCGGTTACTCTTAATAATCTCAAAATGAAGCAAGAATCATAATTTCGTACATAGGCTATTCATCAATGAGACTAAATTGCATGGTTTCTTGGGCATATTTCTCCCTTTATCTCATTTCTACCTTTTCTCTGTGTTCAACTGCAACAAAACTTGTGAATTTGGATACCACGGAGAACGTCTTGCTCAAGGAAACGATGAAGTCTTTCCTGTCTCTCTTCACAATCTACGGAATCATAAAATAACAACAACCGCGGTTCAGTCATGAACAAGGCAAATCTGGACGGCCTAGACATAAGTAAGCACTTAGGTATTAACATGCAACTGCTGCTCCCGGTTCTTTGAATGGTGGATAACTCAATCCCCAAGACAAATCTCTATCCCGTGGATAGCGCAATACGTTTTGTTCGCAGTTATCCACTAGATAGCGACTTATCCGTTATTTAGTGTTAGTTTAGCCTCTTAGTCAGCCCCTTGAACACCTCGCAGCCAGTAAATTGTGTTCGCCAAGAACACAACATGATAACCCTGAGCAGGGTTTGAACCCAGACCCCTCCATCAGGATAGTGAATCAGTGTGTAATGTGTAAATCGCCATTTGAAGTTATCGTCATAATCCTCATTGTTTCTGTCTCATCTTATGGAGACTAGGGCCAATCCCTCTTTCTCTCTCCAACACGATTTGAATTACTCAGCACCGACAACATGCGGCTAAAATAAATGAAATGATGAATGATATTAATTAATATTAGCTATGTTTTTGAGACAAACCTCGTGCCCAGTGCGCTGCTCATGCAGGCTACCTTCGTCCCAGTCTCTGATGATTGCACGCGCGGTCAGCTGATGAAGAATCTGTGCAAGGAAGCGATTGTAGAAAATTACCAAAAATGCAATTACTGAAAGCTGGATAGTTTTGTTCCACTTGCACTTACTTTGCCCTTAGTGATATTTAGATCAGCGGTAGACACCATGGTTGATACCGTTGTGCCGTTAACCTCTGCGCTCAAGGTGGCCTGGTAGGAGTTCAGAAAAATTCAAAGCATCAGTGTGGCCTTAAAATGAACTTGATGTCAGAAAATCAGTAGTTACCTGTGTGCAGTTATCAACAAATCCATAAACCACTTGTCTAGAACCGTTGAACAGCGACAAGAGTTGGTGAGGAGCTTGTACAGGGGGACTGGACCCGGAATCGTGCTGCTGCCAGGTTACTCCCACTGATGTCAGGCCTGGTTGCTCAGCTTTGGACAACTGCGATCTCACCTAAATGAACATTATTTTCTCAACAACGAATTCTTAAATATTCTTTGGATACTCAATTTATCCAGAAGCTATGGCCGTTTTCTAAGAGACTATGAAGATTGGCGGAAGTTGTCATCGATAAATAATTTCATGCCATCAATTTTCATCTCGAGTCATAATAGCCTTTTCTGTTGACAGGAATTCCATACCTTTCTTTCCCATTTAGACTTGGCACTACCGTCAAAAAACTCTGAGGCACCAGCTCCAACTCTGGACATTGCTCGTAGAAGGTAACGATTGGCCGTGGAACTGAGAAAAGGAAACGAACCAAACAATGTGTAGTGATGAGAAACTTCTTGCATACAAACGGGTATATATAGCAATTTTGAAGGTAACACCTCAAGTCATCGGTGGCGTTTAACCAAAAATCCGAATTGTCACTTATCGTCTACAGGTAGAACAGGAAAAAATAATTTAGTATCAGAGATCACATTTCTTTACGGGATGCTGCGCACCCCGAGATCTGCCTCAATCCTAACTTGAAGCATCGTAGCTCAGTTGGTACCGGCATCCAACCGCAGCACACGGACTTGAGTCGACTGTCATCAGAAAAGAAAAGAAGACCGAATTGGACGACATCTTTGGATCTCTTCGCTAAGATTAAAAACAAGGGAAGCTTTATCTCATGAAAAAAACATTAAGTTTACAAAATCTGAGAGCTCAAAACGCCCTTCCTGAGTGTTTGCAAAATTTAAACTTAGCTTGAGCATCCAACACAGAGCTGAAGCCTTTGGGAGATATGGTACAATACGATCCTAACCTGGAAAGGCCCTTTTCCGGTTACTTACCCCACACCAAGGGAAAAGAGCCTGTCACTTTGGCAATGATTGCGGATCAAGCCAAGAGTGGTTTCCTCTTCTGTCACGTGGCCATCCGAGATTAAGAACAGATTTCGTGGGTGGTCAGCGGTCGATAAGGTGGGTAACATGTACAGCTTCCGAAGGACTCGCCACAACTCTGTGCTGCCTTTGTCAGCGGTTAAGGACTGGAAAAAATGACGTAATAACTAACGATCTTGACTTTCAACCGGGTTGAAAACCAAAGGAATGGAATGGCATTTTACTTCGTTTGCACAGAAAAAGAATGTTATGTTCAATGAGAAGGCAATCTGAGGAAGGAATTACATTCTCAACAAGTCTTTAAATTCTTTTCACGTGCCTTCCACGCGGTAAATTTTGCCAGCATGAGAAATTTTCAAGTGAAATAACTGAGAAAATCGTATGCAGCCTGTGCTCATATTTTACCATTGCGAGAATCTGAGTAAACGCAGGAGCCCATTAATGAGCTCCTAGTATACGCCGATATGTGTCTGGTCAACTGAGCCACCCTACGGAAGCTTAGGAGTTTGCTTACCTCGACAAATTTTTTAGCTTCTTCAAAAGAATCTTTGTCTTTTTGTACGCTATATAGAAACAGCTCTGAATGTTCTGAAAACAGACAAGTACAGCCAGTTAACTGAACTGATTTAATATCAATTTGAAGCTGCACAAAGGGCTAAAGACGCGATGGAAATGCTAAAAAACGTTTACAGAGTAAGTTGACAATTAAAGGTGTCCCTCCCTACCTGCCGTCAAAATACAGTAGTTAAACTACAAACTAATCTGAATTTCATATATTTGCACTGCGGTGAAGAGATGAAATTAAGAGATCCTCGCAGCTAAGAACACTACTGAAACGAGTAGTTGAAAATAGGACCTGAAAAAAATTCAGGCTCGTACGGGATTTGAGCCCATGACCTCTGCAATACCGGTGCAGCGCTTTACCAACTGAGCTAACAAGCCAACTGGGAGCTGGTCATTAAGTTGGGTCCAAATAAACCATCCAAGTAATTAATGAAGATTTTAGATAAATGAATTTCATATATTTAAATATATATTTATAAACTAATCTCTTGTTTGTAGTCAACAAACCATTGACAGAAATGTAGCGTCCACGGATTTACGAAAAGAGCATAGAAATGGAGCGTGTTACTCTTATTTTAACTTCAATGTTCATGGCAATCAAATTTATAACCAAGGATTCTAAGGTATGCGCGAGTTGATTGGTCAATTCCGTTTCCGAGCCCACGTTCTACCAGGCCATTGACTCCCACAAAATGAGGAGAGCACCTGGCAAATCAAACGCTATTCATATGTACATCTGAATTGTTGACGAGACAATAAATATTCTAATTCAAATAAATTACAGAAACTTTTGATTTTCTGATCTGCGATTGAAGCTGGTTCGGAAGGTTTTTTCTGTAAAACAATTGTTGAGGGTTTTGTGGAGGATTTATGACCATTGCTCAGTACTGACTGCAAGGAAAATTAGAACTATTTAATTAAAGAAGAGGTACTACATTGTGACTATAAAGTAGCTAAATATAAACTTATGTACATGGCATTTCGTGCATTCTGGCATGACTGCTTTTCATACAATTCGAATTGAGTAAACAGAATAGGAAAAACGCTAGAAGAGCAGAGTTCGCGGAGATAAACTAAAACCGAGAAAAAATTCCTGGTGCAGACCTGAGTTCTAAGCTTGCAAGGTTTTTGTACGCAGTAGTACTCTTTCGCATTCGTCAAACAATTTCTGGATACGATATTCTTGATTTCACTGTCAAAATTGATCAGTCTCTATTTGTCTCTGAACGAGGTTGTGCTTCATTTAAAATTACGTTAGCCCTGGTTAGTTCTCTTCATAACTTCTTCTGAATCTTTCATCTCATTTTTTTCAACTATTGGGCTAATGCAGGTCCTCCTTACTCTTTCGAGCATTTTGATTGGTTTCTAACGCCAATAAACAATTAAGCACCACATAACAATCGCTTTTATGATTGAAATAAATTTAATTCACCACCTGACAAAATCCATGTTAAGGTTATGTCATGAAAGAAGTAAGATACATTTTCCAAGGGTTTATGCCGTGATAAACACTCACGGGATATTCGAAGAACACTCAGAAAGACTGACAATCATTCGCCCAACGGCTCGTTATTCATGTTCTTGAAACAACCTGAGCGACTTTATGCCGCTAAACACTCTTGGATAAGTCTCTCCGTCGCCTACATAAATCACATCAGTATAATTTTGCATGCTGCGGAGAACGAGTCAATACATCGCTCAGTAACTACATTAAATGGAGATAAAAGTCATTCCTTCACTATTTTTGGTTTCCTATATGGGAGATCTTATATCACCGTTTTTGAAAAACGCGGAAAGGACTCAAAGAAAATGTAATATTTAAAGCCTTAAAAATAAGTCTGAAATCATTCTCAGTTTATGCGATAACTAATTGTTAATACTCTCAGGTTTGTGCTTTACAGAACGCAGCTTTCCCGCACACCACAAGACAATAGCAACATGTCCAAAGAGAACAAACATGGCCACGCCGACCGTGTTCATAAGAGTGGGCTGTGAAGAAAAACGATCTAACAGAGCTGATCTCCTTTCTTGAAGATCCACTTGGGCCGCGTTGAACGCCTGTTGGATACCCATGGCGATCAATATATGAGCTAAGTTGTGGCTTTGGCCAAAATTATCGAACACACCTGCCATTAAACGTTCTGGAACTCTCGCGGCGTACAGCGCGGCGCCTAAACCGCAGAAGACAACATGACGTTTGAAATACACCGTGGATATGCGGTTATACGCTGGGTCGGCGTTTTCACATAACAAAATACGGACCGTGTACGGTGATGTGATAACAAGCCAATTTACGGCAAGAACGGCGACCCTCAGCAAGGCTTTGTAATCTTTACAACGAGGATGGTTTGATGCGCAACACAAAAAAGTTATGAAAAACGAAAAGAACGTCGAAATAGACTGGAAAACGGTAAGCGAATCGTGCACTGCCCAAGCAGACGCGCCCGCGGTCCTAGAGTAGAAAAACATTGCTTGCCCGGCCGTGAACGTGTAAAACCCGATAGCTGCGTAGTCAAAGAAGAAACAAATTCTATGGGAATCCTCTGACATGCAGTTGAAAAGATGTGCAGAGGTACTCATTAAATACAGAACCGAAATTCCCACGGCGAAGGAGATCAGCGGCAGAAAAAATGGGTCAGTCGTGGGTAAGGACGTCATGTTTACAGACACGAACAGTACTAGAGCGAGCAGGTGGCTCCAGACGTTTATAGTTTCGTTGGAAGATCGGAGCAAACTTCTGATACATTCCCAGAAGGTTAATCCGGGTCGTCGATAACCAGACACGATGAATGGCGTCCTGAACACTTCAGGGATTTGGTTGCTTGACAAGCCGTACTTTTTCTTGTTCGTCCCTTCAGAGTTCTCTTTTACACTTGAAGTTTTCTTCATATTGTCGTAGGCTGAAAAATTATTTTCCCATTCGTGACAGTTTGTCGGCGTTCTTTCTTTCATTTCGTTGGGTTGTTGAGGCCTTTTGTACGTCTTTAAATGCATTCTCACGGATTAACAGCTCCTTCTTTCGTTTCACTCAGCGATAAAATTGATTGATGGCGTTGTCTTCCTCAATTAGACAACAGTTTATTCATTTGTGGGTCATTCACTTGAAGATTCCCGCCGTTAAATAAAAAATGTGGCTCACCTACGGCTGATTTCCTAGGTGCTTTCGCTTTTGCTCAATTTCCTTGAGCTTACCCGGTTGTCAAGTCAAGCACTGATATCAAACCGCTACCAGTTCTGAAAACGCCAAGCGCTGATCGGACCGCTTACCAGTCGCGACGCTTATCATGAATAAATAAAATCGTTCTCTGCTACACTGGCAGGACAGATACGCAGACATTCACTTGAAAAGTTCATTAAGAACTACACGAAACCACAGATTAATACAACATTCCCGAACAAAACAAAGCCAGCGCTAAAACCGGTATGAAATGGATGACACAATAAGTTCAACTGGCTTGTAGAATCCCTCGCGCGTCTGCTCGCGTTGACTAACGTCATGTAAATTTTAAATATTTACCAGATCATCTTTCTCGAAAGCATCTCCCAGCGTTAGAACGCCAGCAATTACCTTTGCCAGTATTATAAAGGCGAACAAAAGATTTTCGTAAAATCTTGATTTTCTCGCCTGTGGCGCATAAATTTGATAAATTAGGAAAGTCATCATTATTCATGTTAATATTTATTGTATAAGTCTCGAGGGACCCTCTGTTTATATTTGAATAGTTGCGTAAATATGGGCCAAACTGAAAATAATTTGAAACAAAACAGTAATACTAGTTAACAATTTGTATTTCAAGGTAAAAACACGTTCGTGATAAACTCCACAAAAATTTATCAATGTCACTCATTGAGTATTCGAACCATCGACTTTGCAATGTATTACAAAAAAACGGACCGCATGAAATTGGAGTTAATTGTACAGAGATGTATGTAAAAATCTGTTAAAAACAATTCCGTTGTGATTTATTCTATCTAGGAAAATCAACACGAATCTGATTTTCCTCGTTCTTCGCGGATGTTTCGGTATAGCTTTAAAATGTACATTAAACGAATTAACAAAGCTAGGTGATACAATACTGTAGCGAAACAAAACGATAAAATTCATTCATTGGATAGAGAAAAGGTTGCTAGAAGCAGTACCCTTTCGTGAGGGCTTCTCGCTTTTTTTGTTTCTTTATAGCATCAAAGCAGGTGATAACTCTGGACAATCAAGTCACCAGAAAAGTTTTATTTAACAAATTTCTATGGAAACGTTAGCGTTTCAGCGGAAATTCGCTAATCGTAGTGTTATAAATCACTACGTTTGCTTGAATGTAACGGTTGAAGCGCATGCATGAAATGCACGCACAGTCAGTCTTCTTGTTATAATTTCTGTCTAGACGGATAATTCCCTTAAATTATTGAGAAGAATTTTTTAGATGCAATAACCTATCATCAAAAGGATGCTCTAAGTGGATAGAGTTCCACAGTCGTAATATATCCTTTGAACTAGACTAAAAGTAGACTGCTTTATAGAGCTCTTAAAATAGCCCTTCACGTGGAGCCCCGCACAATGCGAGCAGGGCTACCACAGGAACAAGTTGATGTAATATCTGAAAAGAATATTATTCTCTCTACTTGAGATAAGGTATCACGAGGAAACATATCAAAATTCCATGCAGCTCTTGATAAAACAACAACTACTTCAGACCCATAAAAACATCCGGAAGCAAGCACCTTTGAAAATCTTCGCGTTTAGGGCGTATATTTTAATATAGGAAATAAATGGGCGCTTTTACAAGGGCAAGAGAAGACACTCATTGAATTTTTCCCAAAAACGAGGCCAGATGTGGTCACTTTAAGATGCAGAATGAAAAAAACAAAAACAAAAACAAAGAAAAAAACAACAACAAAAACCAGATACTATGAGTAGAATAGAAAGATGGTGAATGTTAGGATCGGTCACAACTTACAATTTTGCGATGAGCGCTATGTAGAAGAAAAGAAAATGGTTTCCTTTATTGAAATGCTTTAGTTAGAAGCTATTATCAGTTATTGGAAGAAAGGATAGACGAGTGTTATAAACCAGTCAAAGAATCAACGCCGAAATCTAATCCTCTCTCATAATAAAACATTGTTCTTAAAGGTTTTCTAACTCGTCCTTACAACAAAGGGACGGAAGAGAGCGCTTTTTTCAATTGTTTCTAATTTTTATTAGAGGGCCGTTCATTTAAAGAGAGCAGCTGAAACGAGGATTGAATGTACGCCACTTAAAAGCAGTTATTCTGATAACAGTTCGAGTACGATGACCAAAGCTGTCTCAAAATTTGTTTTAACCACAATGGTAAAAACATTTTGCGAGTAAAAAAAATCATGAAATCAATTTACAAGTAGAACAAAGGTACTATGTCTGTAAAAAGTTCATTTTCATGCAATTTTCATGGACATTACATTACAATGATCAGCACAAGAATAGCGTGGAACACTGAAGTGTTAACAGGCCATTGATATCTGCAAAAAATGAATTCAAATACCTTTCTAATTAAAAATATATATAAAAAACCTCATGAAAAGATCAAGTCCTAATTGAAATAAAAAGTTTCGGACAATTCTCTGAAGAGGACAACTTGCCTCGGTGACATAAAACATCCGTACTTAAAATAACATAAAAAATATTCAACTAAATTCATACTATATGTATCTCAACAGTAGAAAGCAAACCGCTCGTTCTTCTTTACAATTTTCACGCGTTCCTCCTTAGAAAAACCATGGCAAACTTAACATAAATTTTACTTTTGGAAGAAACATCCACTTCGATCAAATTACAGTATTTGCAACATAGGCGAACTTCTCGCCTTCCTTCGCAGAAATTTAAAAGTTCAGTTTAATTAGATTTATCATGTCCAATTTTACCGGATGAATTCGAAATTAAAGACCTAGCAAACCAGAATACGATAGCGAGATTCCCAACCAGAACTAAAAGAGTCAAACCGATCGTCTCGAAAAAACTCGGTGTATGTTCCGTGATGAGGAATTCTTTTCTGGCTGAGAGATCCGAAAGGAGAACGGAGAATGCAAAATGGTCACCGGTAGTGGTAAGCAAATGAAGAAAGTTGTGACTTTGCCCGATAAAATCGAAGAACCCGGGAACGAACCGTTCAGGTATTCGGGTCATATTCATTAAGGCAGCGGCGGCGAACGAGATAAGACACCCTACGAAGAGACCAAGAGAATCGGGATTGCATGCAGGATCAGAAGAGCACATGAACAGACGAACGAAGTACGGTGAACAGTTGTGCAACCAGGATAGGATGTAGAAACCGGTGCGGACGATGAAACGGAGATCGAACCACTGATGACGAGACTTGCAACAGTTGAAAGTGGCACTGAACGAAATCAGGGCTGAAACGAATAGGAACAACTCCCGCCAGTCGAACAAAAGGAGCCCAGATCCTAGCGGATGGCAGTAAAAATAGAAGGCTTGGCCATTAGTGAATGTGTATACGCTGATAGCAGCGTAATCCAGGTAGTACCCGATGTGGTTTTGTAGCTCGGTCATAGAGCTGAACATATGGGCCACACAACTCATCGTGTACATAATGCAGCAGCCGAGAGTGTACGACACCAGTGGAAAATAAAAATGATCAGTGAAAGGATTATGGTTCCACACCACTGAGCAGTAGCGGGCAATGAGTATCACGGCGGAGAGAACATGGCTCCAGAAATTTACTGTCTCGTTGTTGGCGTAGAAAACACTCTTCACGCTATCGAGAGCGTTCAGGTTTCGCGGCCGGTATCTTGTCGTAAGAAACTCGGTGCGGAAAGCTTGTGGGATTTGATCTTCACGTAATAACATGGAGTAGCGGTGGACCTCTTCAGTTTTATCTTCTTTCAGTGACCCATTTTTGTAAACACTATCATCTAAATCGTGCGACATCACCGCACCATTTCGTTCAACTTGTTTAAGCTTTCCTTGTCTCGTCAGCACCTTCGTCATTTTTAACGATTTCTCCGCTCCCAAAAATATTTTTGTTTTTCTGAACCGGCGCCGGCGCTTCGCTTGTTGATGAATTGATATTGCAAACTGTAAAAACAATTATGCAAATTCCAAACAATACGTAAGAACTGAGCAGATCTAACTTGCGCACGTACAAAGTCATCTTCGTGGGTTGCACATTTTAAATAACGAAAAATCATTAGAAAACGACAAATTAAAAGACACATTCTGGAGAAAACTTTACAGTAAAATCCTTCTAAAGCATCTGTATCCGGTGGATTTAATAATGGTTTCAAAGTTTTGAGTATATGGACTTTAAACTACTACCAATTAAAGAGTCTGATTATCTTTTGACTAAATAATTGACTCGTGACAGAATAGAGTGATTTTCACAATATCTGTAAAGAATGAAGCAAAACCAAGTTTCTTTCTCTCTCCCTCGCACAGTTTAACCATTGCTTTATTCATTTGAGAGTTATGAACACATTGAACAGAGGTTTAAATAAAAAGGTTGGAGAGAAGAAGCTTACGCTCAAGAATCTTGAAGGGAGTACTTGAAGAAAGGAAAATACGTCACACCATAAGTGAAATTTTTTAAATGTCTTGAAATCCGCAATCGTTACGACGTGACATTAACGCGCGACTGATTATCATGCTGAAATGCACTGGCGTTTTTCAAGGATAGTTATTTCATATTTGCTATTTGTTACAAAATTACGCTTCAAAATGCACACTATTTAACATCTAAATCCAGGTGGTTTAAGATGTGTTCAAAAATTAAAACTTCAGATATTTCGATTCCACTCTAACGGTTCACGAATATCGCACCACAGTTGTGGTGTCGGCTCCAGGAACATTGCTGACGACCGTGCACATCATGGGGACGAGTATGTGCAAACATCGTGGTGCCTGAAGACATTAGTTGTTAAAAAATTTTCTCTAAGTCTCGTTTAAAATAGATTTTTTTCGAGCCTCTCTTTTGGCACTGTTCTGATCTTCGTGCTTTAGGAGTGGTGCCCTCTTATGTCTAACGTGGCTTCAAAGGAGTCTACGAATGTGAGGCGCATGAGCGCGTGCAATTAGCTATTCTGAAGAAAATATGACCATGGACTAGTATGAGATAAGACACATGAAACTTTCTTTTCCAATGAAGAAACGCATTTGAGTTGCAATGTGTTAGTCCGTGGTATATCTTTTTTCAAAAAATCCCTTTAACACACAAATGAACTTACTGCTTCCAAACACGAGTACGTTGAAAATCCAACCTTCCTTCACAAGACTAAGGCACATCAGTAGTATCTTTTTGGCGTCGTTAAGATTTGAACCCTGTTAGATAAAACAGATGTCAGCGGTATAACATATTTTTTTCAGAGCAATAAGGACAATGGTGCAGTTCTGGGCCCAGTTGTTCGAAGGCCGATTAGCGCTAACCCAGGATCAAATTTTAGTCTGGGTCTCTTTATTCCTTTACTCAAAATCCTTTTAGGGGTAGTTTTCAATTTTATTTTTAAAGCATCAAATAGACATAATCTAGACAAAAAGAATTTGACTGAATTTTCTTTTAAAGCTTTTAGATCTGAAATCAGATTTCACAGTAACCCTAGAGCTTGGTTCGTTCCTTGTAAAAGGCTAATGAGAATGTGCCACTGGATGGGGTCGCTCAAACGACAGGATTGACTGCAATGAGGTCGTATTTTCAATGGAGTTACTAGAATGGTTAATTTAGTATTATCAAATGAATTGATAACGTAAATTGGCCACCGTAAAGAGTTTCAAAGCATTAGCCCTTCGTCAGAGCGATTGGAGGAATTGTGGGTTGTGTGTGACGAAGGGCTAACGCTAAAAACGTCAGCTTTTAAACTCTTTACGGTGGCCAATTTACCTTTTCAACTCAGTTGATAATACATTACTCTCCCACCGATGCAGCACCACAGTTTCTTTAGAAACTTACCCCTTTATTTACTAGAATGAGTTCGTCCATTTTCGGCATTATAGGGGTAGGAGGTTTCTGTCAAGTAGGGATTTAAAGATGGGAAGATTCCCGGCTAAAAAGTTGATACCATGTTACCAAAAGTGATTAAGATGGGGTCTGTAATTGGCTAAAGTATATACTACAATGGGGTTGGGGTTCTGAGAGGCCAGCGGCACGTTGTCGGCAAAAATTGACCCAGGTACCTTCCTTGCCCTGGCTTATCGTTTCCTTCGGAAAGTACAAATAGCACAACCTGAGATTAAACAGCTGTAAACAAACCATAGAAAAATGACGCAAATTTCCTAATTAAATGGTTCTGGAGTTTGAGATTAGCGCCGGAAATGAACAGCTCTCATTTGATTCCCAGAGGGATTTTCTTTAACATGCGAAGAACATAACTAATACGCGCTTCTGTACAGAAACGTACAAATAATATATTGACAGAAATCAACACTGACCTTCATTGAGCAGGAGAGATCAAGCAGAAATATCACTTCAACTTCAGAAGGACTTTTAGCCTCGAACTCAGGATAAAATGTGAGCATACAAGCCTAGAGGAGGAATGCGTCCATGAGATTAAAGGTCTTTAGAGAAGAACACACGTGGCCCTCATCGCCCTTCCACAGCAGAAAGCAACTAACAGGATCTTAACTCCTTTGGAATGGAAAGGCAGGTCGTCACAGGTCCTGAGTATTAACCTTGCTATTCCGCCTCTTTACATCAAAAGTACAAGTGATTGTAAGTGTTCAATGTGAAAGATAACACCAGAGAGCTGACCACTGACCTGTCTATCTGAATTGTTGGTGTGCCGCTCCACCCACATCCGGGGTACGTGAATCTCTGCTAAACCAATCAAAAGTTGAAATCCATCTCCAAGAGACTGGCCTGGCTCCAGTTCTATCACTGCTTTGGTGGCTGTTCGCTGGATAGAGAAACAAACAAACATGAATATTCAGATAACAACGTTATGCTGGGCTAATGCTCGAAACGCTAGGTTTTCAAAATTCGCTGCAGCGACTCATCTACCTTTATCAACATATAGTTTACAATTGACAAAAGGCGATTAAAATCTTCCTCTCTAGAATCGTGGATAGAAGAGGAAGTGCGAAAGGCACAAGTAAGAAATGAAGTCAAGAAATATAACTAGAGAGTGCTATTCAATTGCGTATTTTAAAACCAAAACTTGAGGAAAATATCAATGAGATATCAAAGTAAAACCGAAACCTCGTGAAGCGCAGGAAAACGCGGGCGATCAAGTCGTGATCGCTTTTAGTCTTGTAACTGATTAATTGAGAAGAAGAAGGCGCGAGTTTTCTGGACCAGTCACAAAACATAGTTGAAAGTAGCCAATGCAGTCCGTTACATTTTCGATACGCAATGAAAAAGTGCTCCACAAAAGCATGAGTGAATGAATATTACCTTAACTTTCATCGCATGGGTCGGTGAGTCAAGTGAGCGAATCTCAAAGGGCATCTCCACGGACACTTTCATAGAAACGTCAAAGGCGGGATCGCTGAAAGAGAACAACGAATAAAGGATAATAAAAAAAGTAAATGCAGCTTTATTTCTCAAGGTTGCACCCGAGCAACTTTCAAAAATAAAGAGAAAAAATTAACAGCTGTTTACAAATCAACGCACTCCCATCCCAGAACTCACCAGGGTCCCACTTCCCCTATCCGCACTGTATCCACAGAAGTCTGATAAGAAAAAAAAACAAAAGAACTTGATTCAACGATGAAGTTGAAGTCAAACGCGCAACAACACAAAAGAAGTAAGTGAAAGAAGGCATAAAATGTGGCTCATGACCTGAGTTACTTCTTCTAAGGCCTTGTCACGTGTCCACGGAGCCACGGAGCCTGGGAGAGAGAAACAGATGTGTTCGCCGTCCACTGTTAATTCAGTGACATAAGTTATCTTGATTAATACTTGAGCACCGGGAGGAAGGTTTCCAACACTGACTGTAAACACATCCTGAGTAAATATGAAATAAGCAAGAGAAATATGAGATATAAATAAAGGGTGGGATCTTATTAGCGTTTCCTTGAGGAACCCAGAGAATTCGGAGAAAGGGGGCGACATGTTGTGGTGGTGGCGCAGTCTTACTCCATATAACAACAAATGAACATTTACTCTAAAGATTCTACGTTTCAAGAAATCTACGAGGAGACCACTAAAGACTTCGCCACAAAGGTGGAGGTGTACGAATTGCATGATAGCCAAAACTTTGTTTGAAGGAGACAGGATAACTAAAAAAATATAACCTTTTCGAAGTTTAGACCTATAAATTCTTCTTGTGTTCACTCAATTCAAATGAGCAACTTCGATATCACAACACAACGTAGATGAAGTTTCGTGGTCGAAAATCAGGTGGAAAACACGTTACCTACCGGAGTTTCCTCGTCCATAAGGTAGGCCCCATGCCCCTTGCTGATGGCTTCCCTATATTCTTTGTGCGCTTGTTCTTTTTCCTTCACTTCACCAACGATATGCTTACCATTGATGAACGCCTCAAAACCACAAACTATGACCAGAAGGACGTCGACAGAGAAGGTATGTTAAACTTCTATTCAACAGTACTTCGGGAGCTTTTTAAACCCCGTTAAGATAAAACAGCGGGCCCGATTCGTCGGCAACGTGAACCCTTAATTTTGAATTCATTCTCTCAACCAAAACAAGGGAAAAAACTATTACAGAGAAGTGAATCTCCTGGATAATATGAGAATCCAACAAAGTTTACCCCTCAACTATAACCACAAGTCCGAAGGTCATCTGCCGTAGCCAAGATACAAATTACAGGAGTTCGAAAGTTCATCACACAAGTTTTTTAAAAAGAGTTTCGAATTTTTCTATAAACTATCAGGCCGTCGACTAAAGACAAACCTGCTGCCATGTCGTCGAGAGGGAAAACGTATTTAGCTTCTATGGGCGTCGAGCTGTTATTGCTGTACTCTTGAAAAACTATCACCTGTGGTAAAAAAAAAAATAATAATATAAAAATGATTTGTAAGCTTATCATTGCCAAAAAAACTCAAAAAGCTCTTGGAGAGAGACGATAGGAGCTACGTCACGCTTCGGGCATCTTAAACTAGATCGCTTGCAATCCGTATGAATCTTCTCTATCCTTAACCGTACTTCTTCCTTCTTAGTTTAGTCTTGCTTCTCTGGTGTTTTCCTGTCTAATCAAACTAATCATTAGTCATTACTAATCATTACTAATTTGCAATCCATGTCAATCTGCGCCATCCTTGACCATACTTCTCCCTCTTGGTTTATCTTCTCCCCTTCGATGTTTTCCCACCTTGCCGATCTAATATTTTGTAGCCTTCTTCAAGAAGAAATTGATTTTTCGCGCCCAGAAACCGGAAAAAATGTGACATAATATCACAGATCGCGATGCAGCTCAATCAGAAAGGGAATGAATGATGTAGCCTACCAAATAAGCTTAATCAAATTTTCCTCGGCAATTTGACCAACCTGAGCCGCCAAATCCAACAGCCTAGCTTTAATATGAACTGACTGCAACGGGATGGACTTGTCTCCAGTTCCCTTAAGTCCTGCCTCAACTTTAGTCAGAGGATCCACAATTGACATCACATCCGTTAGGACTACACTGCCGCGATGGTCTAGGAAAAAGCATTTGAAATCAGTTCAAAACTCTAGTTACATTTTCAACTATTGTAAGAACATGCTTAAAAGCACTAACAAATAGCAAATAGACTCATATCGCAATTTATTATCCATAATATAATTGAATAACAGCGACCTGCCACCTTAATTTTAGAAACCTACAAAAAAAATGTCAAAATAGAGGACGTTCATTCAATACCTTTGGCAGCAGCTTCCGAGCTATCATCGAAAAACCCACTATCAATCGAGGCATCATCTCGATCAGTGACTACAACATCACCACGCAACACAAACTCAACCAGATATCTGCAAAAAAATGGAAATTTTTAAAGATCTTTGGACAGATATTTTACACACACGTATCGTAAATAAAGGTTATAGTTCTAAAAAAGTATCAAATAAATCTGGCCCTGCATAACTGCCGAGGCTTAACGCACTTTTTTTTTTAGCATTACGTGACTTAGGGTAGTAAACAGCCTCAAGTAAGCTCCCTAACAACTCTGGGAAGGAAGAGAGACTGTATCACTTCAGGCTTTGCCAGAAACGAAAAATCGTTTCCCGGCCAAAGCTTGGCCTCAGTTTATTTTACAGATCCAGATTTGATCAAGATGCACCGTCTCTTTTTAATATGCATCTATTATCCAACAAACAAATACCGAGAATGGAAAATCTTATCAAGAAAATATGTGTTGATATAACACCAAATCCTCCCAACTAATTTAAAAGAAAATGTAAACCAGTTTATGAATCAGATCTATGAAGTCCTCTTAACTGCAACCCTCAAAGCTAGCTGATGGACACCAAGCACTATTACAGTTACCTTATTTTCTGTTGGTTCCCGTTGTAGATGGCAAACTCGTCGTCCTGAAGAGCAAAAACGATTTTGTCAGTTACAGCAGTCTGGTGGAAGCAACTTGCTTACTTTAAATGCCTACACAACCGACCTTAAAGTCAGAAGGCTCATTATCCGTGTTTCTCATTCCCTGGCAGCTGCTATAACCTGGTGGAGGCGAGGTCAAATCCATGGCAAATGTCTTGAACTCCTGAGGAACCACAAAACACCAATTACATCGGTTGTTGCTTGTGCTTTGAACGTCACACCTTATTGACCAATAGAAACATCTTAATTGGCTTCCCACCCCCCTTCCCTTGGGATCGAACATAGAGGCTCGACGATTAACGTTCAGGTACCAAACTCACAATCACATTGTAAGAGTTCGAATTCTGGTCAGAACTATAGTGCTGTTTACTTTGGAGAAACACTTTACTGTCACAGAGCCTCTCTCCACCCATGAGTATAAATGGGCGAGGGGGGAGGAAGGGCTAGAGAGGAAGGGGGGGGAGCAACCTGAGATAACCCTACGTCCCATCAAGATGCAGTAGCAATACTCTTGGTCGTTTCAAGTTTCAAGCAACAAAAACCGCAACAAGCTCTGACTGCAATTTGGGGGTAACTCGAACTTAATCCACATAGTTTGGGCGACCTACACGTGAAATGTGAACTCACCCATTTCTGTTACTTCATCAGAGCGTTTTCCGTAGGAAACAGAGGAAATACAGGACGTTTCATACAGGCTATGGTATATTGTGTTGTTCATCATCATCTTAAAAGGTTTTTTAGAAGCCTCTCGTGTTACTATGAGTTTCAAGATTGTTACCTTGACTTTACCCAAGGCGACCTCATTCACAAGCATAAGCCTTGATCCCTTGCTTCCAGGTGCCGAGTACTTGGCACTGGTGCTATATGAGAAAAAGTAAGAAAATGACGAGGTTTGAGCTTAATTTTGATATAAGAAAAACGGTTGTCACCAAAAGCCATTGATTTTTTACTTTCCTAACTTCGCCTACTTAGACACAGTAAGAGATGGAACTCAGGTTATCCAGCATGTGTGCAGCAAACGCCCCTCTTCCTCCCGGAAAAAAAAAAAAAAAAAAAAGAAAAAAAAAGACGGAGTATCTTATTTAGAGAAGTGACAACTTCATCCTGGCTGCAGACTAAGAACAGTACCGCTCCAAAGCGTGATACGTGGCGCGAGTCAATAAAAACCGGTGGAAGATATCGCAACGCCCCGTAAAGGTGTGGCTTTCTAGAGTTAAACCCGTGAGGAGATCTTTTATTGATTACCACATTGTTTGAATCGATTGAGAGGCACTGACTGTAGATTATCGAGGCTGGATCATTCAGCACACAAGTAGCTCCTACCTGGCAGAATTGGAAAAGTAAATCCCACTTCCTAACATTCCTGGGTCTGAACGTTGTCCTCCAAAGTCATCCACGACAATTTTAGGCATAAGAAGCCCTCTACAAGAAATTTAAAGTACATCTCACATGTTCCCCTCCTCCTCTAAAATATGATACTGTACATGACTCTTGAGGGTTTGAGAAATAGAAGAAAAGAAAGCTCGATATAATTTCGAACAATGTTATAACAACAACAATCCACAATCTTAATAATACTCATAAAGACGTACCTTGAAAGTATGCCTACAAAGTTTGCCACCTGCAATAAAATTAAAGTCACATCATTACATATACCCTTTACATATATGCAGCCAACTGTCTTCAGCTCCACTGTCCATTAGCGCACGTATCTTCCTTAAGGAAACCTCCGGGTAAATCAATTTAATATCTTGTCCTGTTACTGTCTCCTTTTAACGATTTAAGATATCAAGTGCACGCGCGGTTAAAATTAAAACAGAATATTAATATACACAAAACTATAGAAGAAAACTAGAGAAAAGGAAAGAGTGCAGAATTACTAACAAGACCGTGACAGTTAAGCGTTACTTTTGCAAATGGCGCTCACCTTCGATGCATGGAAAAGAAGAGCATTATTTCCAATGTGGGGAGAAAAGGCAGTTTCCTCCACAGGACGGTGGATAGAGTATACATTGAGTACATCAATCTCTGGAGGACTGACAAAGAGAGCAACATTTACAAGTTATATTTAACTCTTATATCTCTGACTTACGTCTGTTCAATGTCTAAAAATACATCTATCACGAACACCTTTAACACGATAGGTAAGCTAAATCCTACCCCCCCCTCCCCCCTCATCCTTCCCCACTCCCAATCCGGAGCTTATCCCGGTTTCCAAAGCATAAATCCCTGGATGGCATGCTTGTCCATCGCCAGGTAACCACCCAGCTTTTCATCAGGCTTCCCTGACCGCTGGCCGGTGCCTGGGTGGAGAGAAGCACTGTGAGAGTGAAGTATTTGGCCAACGAACACAACACAGTGACCTGGCCAGGTGTGAAGAAACAGAACACGAACAGTAAGAACTGAACCTTAAGAATCTCAAACAGTTGCCAACAGTTGTATAATTTTTAATTAGAACCTGGCATGAAACCGAATACTGCTTATCCTATCAAAGGGCATGTTTATTGACCCACGCTTAGCTTTCACATACCAGAATTGAGTTTAAGCCTTTGAGAGAGGTTGTTGTTCACGAGTAAGGATAGTTTTTTTTGACAAGATAGAGCCTTGGAATCAAGTAAAATCTAATTCTAGGAGGATTACAGCCAATAAAAACCTTAACACCAGGTCTTGAGACCAGCCGCTTGACCCTGAGTCCAGAGCACTAACTGTGAGGCTACCTCGTCTCCCACTTTTTCTTTTTTTTTTTTTGTGATTCACACACTTGTAGAATGCTATCAAATCTCCAGAAGTGTTGCTAAAAAAATTAGTAGTTGTTTTACAGTGGAGTTCTCAACTTCAGTTGTTTGATTTTCTTACCTTGTTTCGCTTGATTTAACAAGCTTTTGGATTTTTTGGAAGCCATCACTTTCATGGTTAAGGCATTCAATATAGGACTTGAGTGCTCTGTACTTGGAATGTACATCTTGTCTGGTTTTCCAGTTTGTAGACTCGCCAATGCTCACCATGTCTTTAATAAGCTGTCAACAAAAAATGATAATTTAAGATACAATCAGAAGAAATGGGTAACCCTTGTAAACTTTACTGTACCTACCCAAACTGTAATCTTAAAATTGTCATCAGTATTTCAGAACTGGCGAATCAAATAACTTCCTTTCAAATACAATGAAATTTACCAGTAAGCCATTTGAAAGGATGTTCATGATCAACAGTATAACTGACACCAGCAATTTAACTCTTCAACTCCCAGAAGTTACTAACATATAACATCTCCCTTTAATTCCATATAATATCCAGCAGGTAATAAAAATACTTAAAACTTTTCAGGTAGATGTTGTAATCACAAATTCTCATAACTAATTTACAAGAACATGTGTAGCAACTAGAGGGGAGAATTAACAATCAGATCTCAGGAATTTAAGGGTTAAACAACTATTCCCACCCACACGATAAAAAACACTCATGAATCAACCTTTTCTAATATCTGAGATGTTCCTTACTTGACACAAGTCTTGTTTTTGAGCAATGAGGCGCTTTGAACTTATGTTTTCTCCTCTGTTCTTGTGAGGAATAGCTGAGAAAAACTCATCAGAAAGCTGGTGAATAGTGCTGACCCCTTCACCATCATCTATTGATTTTCTCAATAAAAGTAAGATTGCTTCAGCTTTCTCTACATCCTCAAGTTTGATGGAACTGAGAGGAGTGGCCAGAATATCTGCCAGACTGCCTACTGCCTCATTCCAAATGTAATTGATAAGGTTTGCAACTTCAGGGGAGATTGAAGAATCTTCCTGTGAAGATGATTCCTCATTCACCAACTGAAAATAGACAAGAGACATATATCAATAGACAACAAAAAGATATTTTTCCTAGGGAAATAAGCTTGAGATATGTTGTATCTTGTTCTACAAAATACGATTTGAGTGTCCTCTTTTATGCCATAAATTTGTCTTACAGAGCAATATTCAATCTTGTTGTCCTATCAGTGGGTAAGAGTAGTCCCAAGGAGGACTATTGTTGGAAAGAAAATCACTGAAATTTCAAAAACCTTGATGCAAGTAACTCTTGGAGTCCTTGTCAGAGTCAACTTTGATGACGACTTCCACAAAGGTTGCCAAAGTGTCAATCACTTCTACCAAAAACAATCCCTCTCAGGATTAATGAATAAAGGGGGTAAGTTTCTAGAGAAACAGTGGTACTGTGTCAGTGGGAGGGTATTACAGGGTAATTTAGTGTTATCAATTAAGTTGATCACCATAAAGAGTTAAAAGGCTGACGTTTTGAGCATTAGCCTTTTGTCAGAGCGATTGGGACTCAGGACTACTCAAACTAGGACAATCAGACCACACTATCAAATATCCTTTTTCTGTGAGGATAACTTCCAAACAGATTGTCAAAGCCTCTGTCACCCTCCCTTAAAATAGTCCCCTCCAGGACTACTCTCACTCTAGATTAAGGAATTTCTCATTTTCTTCTATTTTACTCAGACAAAAATTACCATTTTTTGTTGAATACATAAGTTAATACCCACCTGTTTCAGTCTGTCAGAGCCAATATTGGGTGATGGATACTTTGATAATTTCTTGTAACCGTCTGCAAATTGCTGATCTATTATAGCAATGAATGCTCCAAATGCCTCCTCAGAAGAGCTGAAATATCTGCATTCCTTTGTCCCTTCATTATATCCCTGCAAGAATCAAATGTAAAGGTTACCGGTAACCTAAAAAAAATCACAATTAAAGCAAAAATACGTTTTTCTAAAGGGGGGGGGCATCCATACAGTAAATGCATATTGTTAAGTCTTGTGCATCTTATGTAATGGGGCTCCAGGTACATTTTTTCATATTCACCTTTTAATGAGGGATAAAATTTTTGTTGCTTCAAAAGAAAAAGCCAAATTCTGCAATATTACTTATTATATAGATGTCTACAGCCAGGTTGCCTTGAGGTTAATCCAACTATTCTGATTAGTTCTTACTTAGCTGGGATTTTGCCATACAGATGTTTCCACAGAAATGATTATCAGAAGTGTTTACAAAGAGGTGGTAAATTCAAACCAGACAAGTTTAATCCAAGTGCCATAATGATGTATGAAATTACTTACTAACCTTGCTTGCTTGAGCTGCACTGGGTAATATTGGCCTGCAGTCCATACCGCTATGACCTTAGGCCAATATTCCTCAGTACTGCCCTTACACTTAGCTACTAAGAGGTCAATATTCAAAACTGCTGATCACATTGCTTTTCTTTGGAGTTACAACCCAAGGCTAAATACTCAAGCAGAGTTTGCTGTTGTTAATTTCGTTTCTGTGAGTGGGCTGAGTAACAATGCAAGAGATAAAAGGAGATAAAACTCAAACTGATTTTAACTGTCTAACAACACTCCAAAATTTGATCTTACCATGATGAATGCCATCAAGGTACCTTGGTGCGTAAATAAGCGGTATCTTGAGCTGGTGCAAGGTACATGTGAAGGAATGAAGTGCAACTCCAGAGAGTAAAGAAGAAGAGGACCATCAGCAGGATTTGTTTTCTGAAAGAAGCAATGCTATATCTAGAGCATCAATTACGCTTATTATCAATGATTACCTAATAACTAAAGGTCTTCATTGTTACTTTAAAAAATTCAGGTTTAACATAATTTTTACCCAAACTTCAAATCTTGTAAGCCTATGTGGGGATTCTCCAAGTCATGCAAATCTTTAAAAGTTCTCGCATGTCTGAAATTGTAACAACCCGAGTTCCAGAGCCTTTTGGCAACCTTCAGTAGTAAAATGGTTGTCAGGAAAAAAATTCTGGTTGGTGCCCCCCCCCCAAAAATAAACTCCATATAAGTGGGAAGACATTTCATGTCCACTACATTAACAACCAGTAGGACATGGTACATGTTTATTTGCAACACTTTCATTTGCCAAATTTGTATGGTCAACCTCTTGCCAAGTTGCAATTTTTGTATTTTATAGAAAGAAAAGAAACAAGTTACAAAAATAACCACTGACTGAACATCTTGAATAACAGAAACTGACTTAAAATGGCCCATTTACGGGAGAATACCACCTGATTGGTGTGTGTTTTGAGACAATTAATTATCACATAATTTTTTATCAGTACTGTAATTAGATCTTGGAAGTTGAGTAGCCATAATAGCTTATCTATAATTTATCTTTTAAAGTTGAACAAAGCATTACCGCTAGTAGGGCATCTTTAACAATTTCACAGTTTGGCTCATCAAATTCTGGACCATCAACTGCTTTGTAAGGCCACACCCTATTAAAAGGAAAGGTTGAGACTGAAATGAAAGCATTACAGGATCATATTTTTCTTAGTTGGCTAGCTAACCAGCACCTTCCCAGCCTATGGGCGCATCAAATTGAAGGTTTTCACTGGTTTCCATAGCATGAAGCAACTCAGTAACATCACCAAGAGGCCAGCAAAGTCTGTCGACTCCCTGCTCTTGCTTAATGTATATGCTCTACTGCTAATAGCCTGGGATTAAGCCACCAGAACTGGACACACCCTAGAGTGAAACTGATTCAACCAACCCCAAGACTGTGGTACGTACTTGAAAGGGATGGCCGTAAAAAAGTTTGATAGTCATTATCAATGGACACTTATACTATTGTTCTTTCTTAAAGTGAAACCTCTAAAAAGAGATATCAGTTAGTATTGAGCCAAAAGTATGACTCAAAATGTAAGACTATATACCACACTTCCATGGTCAACATTACCAATAACATATCTGATGTATTTTATTACACCTACTTTATTCTATTGAGATCTGGAAGCTTCTGTTTCTTTGTAGGTTTGGTCACATTATCTTCCCTTTGGTTCTTAGCTATCATAATAATAAATGTAGCAAGCATACAATAAGCACAAATTTAGCACAGATAGAAACTGTAAAACTCCTTTTTAACCTCTGATGTTTCTGTTTCAAGGATGGAAAAAAATGGGAGACATTTACATGCAATGGGTAGGGTTGCTAATTAGAGGACTTCATATTTTAAATACAATGATCAATTTGACTCAAATGATTATGTTCTTCCAGCCGTTTTGTCAAAACCACATCAAAGGAAGTCAATTTTAAAGGGGAAAACTGCATGCTTTTATCTGTATGCCTTTCATGAATTCAAATAACTTGCTTGGTATCTGATACCTTACTACTAACTTTTCAAGATTTAATAGTTTGGAGTTTAAGATGAGATTAAAAAAATCTAAAAGTAAGCCAAGCTGACAATCATAATGTGCCTTCATAACCCAGTTTCTGCTGCAATATAAATAACCAGATGCATTTCAACTTCCCCTGAATGCCAGGTTTAGTAGTCTCAATTTAATTAACAATTTGTGATTACCAATTTACTCCTGGGTGATATGAAAGTGAAGTACTTTGCCCAAAACTGACAAAATAATCTTGCCAGGATCAAAATCAATGCATTATGGAATTAAGTCCAACCCCTACTATTTTATATTGTAGTATTAGATCCTATCTGGAATCTTAAATGAACCAATAACAAAGGCCATTGGGCTGTTGAACTGTTAGATCTGATAAAGTCAATGTTCACACAAAATTGACAACCATGAATGCCAAAAAAGTTTGTCACAGCTTACCAACAATCTTGCCTGAACTAAAGTTCTGTGATTCAAGGGTTTCTGACAAAGGAAAAGGCTGTGGATCAACAAGTTTTCCAGACTTGATGCAGTCAGTAATGAAATCAAATGGAACCACTGGAATTCCAAGCTTCACTGCAGTTCTTCCCTTATATGATGACAAAGCTCGTTCAGAATCACCAGTCACCAGAAAGTTTGTCTACAAAAAAGAAAATAGATATTTTGTTAATGGAGCTTGTAATACAGAAATATACAAGTTTCAACAAAACATAACTGTTGCCGCACAAGCATTTCCAAATAGGAGGTGCATTCTTATAGACTGCTAGATTCTCAAACAAAACAGTCTTATATTCCATCATAGAAGACAGGGATAAGTGAAGGTACATAAGTAGAGATTGAGAGCTTTATTCAAACTAACCCTTAAATTTATTGTGCCATAAAATCTGTTAAGTTATTAATAGCAAAATATTTACCCTTGTAATGCTCTTATTGTACTTTTTACCATCACCTACTTTTGCCAAGTCTAATGCCTATTTCAAAACATTTGAAACCCTGTAGTAGGTATCAGTATACATGTTTTTAGTTTTTTTTTTTTTTCAGACAGGTTGGTAAAGGTATCACACCTTTACGTCAATACACTCTCCATAGGCCAGAATGACAGCAATGCTGAACCAAACCCTTTCCCCTCCCTCTCCCTGGCCTGCTAGGGTCCCCAATTGCAACATTAGCATGATTATTGACAAATTCGACTGTCATAACCCTAAAAAAAGGAAACAGAAACCTTTCAGGCTATGAGAATTTCAAGTCAAAAATAAAAAAAAGTCACTATTTCATTTTCTATGATCAGATGGAGAAAGTTTCTTTTCAACAACCCATACATTATTCAGTTGAACTAACTTCGATTTGCCCATAGCTAGCTGCCCTATCATTCTGTGACAGAGTTCGAATGCCCCCTTACGGACCAATTTAGAATGTCGGACCATCCATAACACCGAATTTAAAATCACCAAAATTTGGTTATTGAAAGATTAAAAATCGTTTGAACTTATGAAATCCTCCAGCTATCTACAACTCACATTGTAGGCTCAACGTGTCGTTGTGGCCAAGGGGATTTTGCTATAATGGTTGAAAAGCCTCGTCGTCTAAGTTGACGAAGAGCCAAGCTGTTTAAATATCTAGTATGTTGCGTACAAGACAGGGAACGTTAATAACCAGAGCTACGACTGAAACTAAAGATTATTTATACCTGTTTTGTTAGTACATATGACAATGTACCGCCATTTTCTACGATCTTTCGTCGAATTTCTTCCTTCTCTTTGAACGTTAGCGACAAGGACGCAGCAAAATCAACCACGAACTGACAATTTTTAAAGACGCCGGAGACTTTCAATGTACCCATGGCTAGGACAGAAGGCATACACTTTGTGTTTTCATTTTGCACTTTCGGCAGGTAGCTGCGCTGTCAGCGCTAAATAAAGAGATGGCCTGGGAATGAACTTATACCAGGGAAAATGTCAGGCGAACAACAACAATAATGGCTGACTTTATCATCACAACACAGCGGTCAAACGTCCAGCATGCGCGAAGGGAGCAATTCTGGCCGACCCTTGCTAAATAATTTCAAAGAAAAACATAACATACAACTACTGCCTCGCAAAATAGGCGAAAGAAAATTGAAAAATTTCATAAATATCTGTGAAGACTTTATTGCCTATTTGCAGTCTGTAAGTCTGATCTTCGAAACCTTTGTTTCTACGGGCGACTTGACCGGTTACCGAGGTACACGTTTCCCGTTTCTTCCACCTGCTGGTTTTCAGAGATTTTCGAGTCCGGCTTTGGCACAATTAGTTTCCTTCCATCGTAATAAACTTTTGTAAGCATACTGGTGTTAAATAAACGGTCCGGTGGCTTGGCTAGCTAACGCGCCCTGGCAGCAACACTTTGTGTGCCCGGATGAACAGTAGAGGCAAAATAGCTCATTTTCGTCGTTTCCGTCCAATTTGGACTGTAATTGCAGATTTTATACGCTTTATTTCAATACAAGTCGCTTCTATTTGATCTTGGACGTTTCTGACCATTTCCTCCGATTTTGTGGTTTCCGTGAGATTTCCATCCAATCGATTTCTGTCCCATTTCAGACGCTACCGTCTGATTTCAAACAAATTCCGCCAAAGTTCAGATGGAAAAGTTCTTTCGACTACTCGCCATCGCATAAATCTGCTTTTTTGAAGGAGAAGTTACTTAGTGGTCATTCCTAACGGTCAGAGAAGGTTAATTCCGCAACTGTACAAATAAAATCAATGTTGTTTTTCCAGATTTTGTAATAGCGCAACATCATTAGGCCTCAATCATTTAAGGTTTCCCGGTAATTCATTAAATTAGCGGCCACAATACATTCATTTACCCCAATTACCGGTTCAAATCAATATTATCCAAACTAAAAGCCGATTTGCAATTGGCTTACCTTTATCGAAGGGCAAAACAATGTTTTTCGAGCAATTAAAACCAAGAACGTCCTCATACAGTCACAATGACTTTGACCATTTCGTTTGATTCCTAATTATAAGCTCTAATTGTTTTGTTTGTTTTGAACAAAACGATTGTTTTTAAACTACTCATTGCCAGTCTTGCTAAGCCCCGATTCAGACGAGTCATGGCAAACAACAGCGGACGAAAAATCGAGCCCATTTTTGCATGGGCAGAATATGAGGAAAGCCCTTTAGCAGATCACCCAATGCCAAATGATTTTCTATCACCGAAGGGAAGTGAATGGCCCTGTACCAACGGAAAAAACAGCAAACAAGTGGATTTTCCGCGCGACGAGCCTGAACTGATAGTAGAGCCTTTTGATATAGAAGGAGCTGCCTTTCCCCCTTGCAAAAAGTTTCTGTCATCTAAACGATTGTTTAGAAGGCGCATATGGAAAGGAAAGAAGAAGTCATCGTCATCCGTTCAGACCTTTGAAGATAAAGATTACCACCCGGACAATTGTGAAAATGTGCCATGTTTTACCTCGCGCCTTAGTCCTCCCAGCATAACGTACCCAGGTCATGTGCAGGTCTGTCTCCCTCAAGGTTGTCTTCCTAGTGAGGTGGCGCTTATGTCATCTGGTGGTGACACGGAATCAACGCCACAATCGAGGGATGTGATAGTAGAAGACACAGAAGTTGATATCTGGCTGAAAGATATTTGCAATCAAGCAATGACTCTGCATACTTCTGCGCAACCCGTAATCTCTGCACCAGCTAGTTCAGCTTCGTCTGGTGCTAAGGACCTCGAGAGAGATGTTCCCGAGGAAAAAAAGTATTCTCTGGGTAGCAGGCTGATGCTGTTTATCCAGAATCAAAAGGGAATTGTTCGCCGAAATGCTATTTGTGAAGAACTGGAAATGACCATGGGCTTGGTAAAAATCAACGGGATGAAATTCAGTCTGTGGCACCTCCGGGCAGAGTTGTTGAACACTCTACAGATAAAGAAATGATAAAGCTATCTGTGGGCCAGACTATAGCTGTAACTTTTAGTTTAAGAATGAACAAAAAAAGGTTCAGTTTCGTTTCGGTTCGTTTAATGAAGTCAGGCTGTACCAGAACTATTAACGGGATAATGTTTTTCTTGAGTATGGAAAATGTTTTCTATGGGCAGTAAACTAAAACGTCAAGAATCACGTGAACATTTTGGAACCAATTAGGTTCACTGCTAGACTATTGTTCAGTCTTCAGTCTTATGGTCGGACGAAACACCAAAAAATTAAAGTAATATCGAGATCCTTCGGAAGGCACTCTAACACTCTGTTACTAATACTTCATGGGATCCGGAGAAGGTCTTGCTCACAATATATGACTAATCAACAAAGGTAAGAAGATACGAGGACGCAAAACTAAGCTAAGCAAAAACGAAAGCCACGAACAAAGACGGTTACGTAATAACTTGTTTGCAATTAATAATCATTGTGTTCGTTTTTTAGGGCGCTACACTTGGACTTTTCAACAGCAAATGTTATTTGGCATTCAAATTTACAACGCATTTTGTGGTGTGTTGTCGTCAGAGCAAAATTGTATTAGTCGATAACGACTGATCAGAAAACGCGAGTGACTAAGCCGTGATTGGTTGAAGTTTTTCCACGTGACAGACTGTCAATTTGGCGCGAAGTTTCTCGGCCAATCACTGAGCATAGTAAAGTAAAACCAAAACAGTGGCACACCGATAAAAAGACAAGAATCCATCGTCTTTCGTAAATAACGTCTAAGTTAAAGGAAAGGGGATCATCGTAACTGCCATAATTGGAGGAGAATTCAGCTCCTTACTGACCTTACTCTGCTAAGCGAAGTACGCACCATGGATTTGCTGGAGAGGATCAGGAAAGTTGTGGACGGATGCAGGCAGATCTCGCACGGTCAAATGAGCAACCTTCCGCATAATTAGAAAACAGTCGGTAGACAAGTAATAAACCTTGCCGGTTGAGTTGATATCTAGAGAGTGTGTGAAATGGTAGACAAAGCAATACTCAGGAAAATCCTGAGATCAGCCCGTATAGCATCTCGCAAACAATGATCATCAAGATCATTCAGGGTCGTTATTAAGATACCACGCACAGAGTCAGTTTCAGTGTTGACTTGTCTGCACCTTTCACTGTTAGCATAAGGGTGTGGCGGGGTTGTTTTTTCCCTACTTATCTTCTTACCGGCCATTGCTTTGGTGATTCTGAAGACAACAAGAACAATTTTGTGAATCCTGCAAGGCTTTATCAAGCTGCGCGAATGAGACATTCCTATCAAATTCATGGGACTGCTTTTGGGAACGAAAATCATTTTAACTGGCACTAATCGTAATACACTTAATGATTTAACACTATTTAGAAAATATCAATTAATCTCCTTTTATCATTTAGCAGATGTTTAGCTGTGAAGTGAAAGTAACGTACAATAAACGGCTTGAAATACCTCAGTGCAGCTCGATAATTGCCAAATGATTATTGAACCAATGTTATGCAAATATTTGTGCCTTAAAACAATTTTTTCCATGCTTAAGCAATCACACTTTTTTTTTTGCAATATTGCAACTTTTGCCAACATGCAAGCGCCGAGATACCACGGAGAAAATGTTAGGTATACAGGTTGACAAAGAAATAAAATTCCAAATGAAATAAAATTCAAGCGAGGAGTCGCTTTAGGCGTATGGCTACCAAGGTGTTTAGGACTATTTTTCGGGTCGCACTCACGAGAACCAAAGTGAAGGTTAACAGAGATTTATTGTCCATAAAAACAAGAATACTAAAACTACCAAGATATAAGCTGTGAAGTGAAAGTAACGTACAATAAACGGCTTGAAATACCTCAGTGCAGCTCGATAATTGCCAAATGATTGTTGAACATACCAATGTTACGCAAACATTTGTGCCCTAAAAAATTTTTTTCCATGCTTTAGCAATCACACTTTTAAGCCGCTTTTTTAAAAATATTGCAACTTTTGCCAACATGCAAGCGCCGAGTTACCACGGAGAAAATGTTAGATATACAGGTTGACAAAGAAAATTAACAAAACTTGTTAATGTGAACTTCCTTATTGTTTCGTTTAATAAATAGGCGTTGCCTCGTGTTGACAGATTTATTCGATGACAAGAATCGTGATTGACATTAATTCAATAGATTGATTTAAAAGCGTTAGATTATTATGTTTTAAGTCAGTTTTTCAGCAGAATCGAAGTGAGAAAGAAGTTATTTTGTTATCGTTTTTCTGTCTCCAAATCCGCTTACCTGGAGAATCTGCTAACACGTAAAGTGAGACTGTTGTAACGACCCGCCACAGAAGTAAGTTTATATTGAAGTTTTTGAATTTAGTTACAAGATAAAGACTTGATTTGCGTTTGTTCTAATTGCAAATTATAAATGTATTTCTTTTAGATCGAATAATTATTAAAGCTCGGCTTAATATTATACGGTTTGCGGTGGTCATTTGATCTAACCAGTTCCGAGTAAGGAAACACTTATTACGCTTGCGGCGACTGAAATGAAATTCAAGCGAGGCGTCGCTTTAGGCGTATGGCTACCGAGGTGTTTAGGACTATTTTTCGGGTCGCAATCACGAGAACCAAAGTGAAGGTTAACAAAGATTTATTGTCGATAAAAACAAGAATACTAAAACTACCAAGATATTAACACGAACAAGTAGCTAAAACAAGCAAGTGGCTAAAAACGACCGTAAACTAAAGTAATAATACAACAAATTCCTACTAATGGAGGCGGAAACTTCCTAAATATAAGATCAAAGCATGTAAAAACAAATCTAACTATTCGCCTTCTTTTCTAAGTATTGATCTTATTTAATTTCTTTCTCTTGTATGTAATGATCTTGTCCTCTCTTTATGTATTAATTTTCTAGCAGATATGCATATGTATATGTTTTCTCATATTTATTATTTTATGTTGTGTAATACAAAAACTCTACACCGCCCAGATTAGCTATGCCATTTGCGGTGTACAGTTACCTCTCTTTCATTAGTTAACTTTCAAGAATAAACTTCCATATCGGTTCCACTTGTGCCAAAGGCCTTCAAAAGTTACAAATCGCAAAGGTCAGGATCCTTTGAATTATTAAATACAACAGAAGAAAGGACGATAAGTTCGCCTTTTATGTGCGCGTGGGACGCAAAAAGGACGCTAAAGGGTCAGGTTTCAAAAACGATAGATAGGCAAATCAACATGAATAAACATTGTAACTAAGATCGTAACTAATGAGAAAAACGTTTTCGGGGTAGTTAATAGTCAATAGAATCGGCTAGTATCCTTAGCATTCCTGCAGTCGAAATAATCTAAAATCTTTAACTATTTCCTTGGGAAGCGTCCTTAAAAAGTCACTTACACCATCTGTATTCGTTTTTGATAGTTTTCTCTCACCTATTCTGCCACGCAAAACTTGTCAAGGGAAACTTACTAGTGAAAATATGACGTTATTCCTCCTTCTCTGCTGTTGGTTTACAAAATATTTTTCTTACCAAGCTTTTTACACCCATCTTTATCTCCTTCATCCTCCAGCAATAAAGCAAAGGATTCAAAGCGAAGAAGAATAAACAATGATCGAAGTAAAAAATTGGAGCATGTTAGGAACATGTCTCCGAATTCTTGCAAAACGTAAAAGGTTAACGCGCTACCCAGATAGGGGAGGTAACTGATCACAAAAAGTGCAAGTATATATAGAACAGTGAATATAGATTTTCTGTATTTTGCAATATTAATGGAATTTTGATTTGCTCGAACTCCTTTTTGATGGTGACGAAGTATTCTAAACACCTTGTAATAAGAAACTGCCATGACCAGAATACAAATTGCCGCCGCCGTTAAAAAAGCTCCATTCAGCAAATTGTCTATGTCCTTCGATAGATACCGAAAACTGAAAACGCGGACAGTTACAAAGGCAGTTATCATGGACACAATTATGATGTAATGAATAATAACTCGGCGTACTGTAAGAAGAGACCTCCGGCTCATGCAAAGCCATCTTTCTGCAGCAGCCATCGCTATGACAGCGACTGTCAAGCAGGTGAAAAAATGACTAACACTAAATGAAATCAGAACAAGTGTGCATGTCAGACTGCTTTCCCATAAATGTGCTAACTTGGACGCAACCATAACTGGCAAACTTATTAGTCCTGTGCAAAAATCCGTGAAGGCCAATCCAGCAAGAAGCACATGGGATGGAGTCCTTAGCGCCGGGTTTCCCCAAATTGCTGCCAAAACGAAAGCATTCCCAGTCGCTGTCATGGGAGCGAGAAGAAACGCAAAAACACTGGTTACCACAGTTGTCCAATAGTTAGATGAGATGCTGACATTTCTATAAGTATAAACATAACACAAACTATCTAATGCGTCAGATGAATTGGACAGCATTTCTGTTTGCAAACTCGGGAGATTTGAAGCTCCTTGGGTGAAGGATGATTGGTAATAGAAGCGTTTGGTTTTCCGAGTAAATTTGTTCATTAAAGCAATATAACCCTTTTGGAGTTTAATGAGTGTCCCAGCTCACTCGTCGTCTCTTGTGTCCTTGATAATCTTGTTGCGATTACATCTATTGAAAAATAACCACTGGAAGTATTCAGTTTTTAACCCACGTATCACAATGTCCTATTTGTTCAGTTAAAACAAGGAAGAGTTATATGCATTGTAGAAAAAAAATCTCCAATTGGGCAATCTTTTAAGATTTTACTGATGCCTGACTGATGCCTTTTTCTCCTTAACTCCAAGGTCGCTTTGTCTCGATCGAAATCAATCAATTTCGTATATCAACAACATTCAATAGCTGTGTAACTGTTGGAAGAATACAATTTCCCTACCCACCGTCCTGGAATCTCCAATTTATGGCTTTGCAGGATCATCTTAAAGGGGCGAAATGTTTTCTTTTACGGTCTATTCTTTGTTATTTTTATTTTTGAACAAAGTATCGGTGGTAAGATATTTTGAAATTGTTTCAGTCGTTTGTATCGATTTAGTCGCTCGTTAGTGTACCCAAAAGAAATATATATATAATCCCATGTGAAATAATTGGACGGGGTTAAAACAACACATGTAAAACAAAGTAAACTTCGCACTGAACTGATTTCAACGTGACTCTTCCGAGCACAGACAGCTTTACTTATTTTCAATTGGAAGAAACAGTATGGTGTGCACTTTTTTCTGTCTGCACTAAGTGTTGGCAGTTTTCGTCCCCCTCACTAGACATGTTGGAGGAAAAGTTTTACTTTAGGTGTTCCCAAGGGTGCATTCGTTCGCTTTGTTTCTTTTCCTTTCCTGTCATGAGTTAGCTTCTTCTTCTTCTTCTTTTTTTTTTCTAATGAAAAGGATGAGTGTAAAGGGGCAAAGTCTGACCGCGTCAGTATAAGACTAAACATAGACTCGCTTTAATAAATAATCTAGCCAAATTTAATAAAAGGTATTAAGAACAGTCATATTCCTAGCAAAGCTAAAAACCACAGTAAATCCATGAGAAATCAAACTATTCACATTACAAACGGTTATGTAAAATCCAAAAGGACGGCGCGAATTGCAGAAATTCACTCAAGAAAACGCTTAAAGCCGGCTTTAATTACTAATTGCCGCAGTGATTAGGCAAAACCAATTAAATCTCGGATAACCTTCAACATTCGATTAAAAACTTCACCTGCTTCTATCGTTTCTCATGGAAAAAAATAGGTAGTGAACTGCAAAGTGTCTTAAAGTACCTTTCAATCACTGTTATCAATCCTTAACTTTAAGTAATCACGGAATGGCTAATCATTGATGATTTCAGGTATCTTTCTTGACGAAATAGTGTTCCCGCGTCTAGGACCCCTGCGTCAGTACAATGTGTGGGTCGGTACGTTCTCAATGCGTTCGCATAAAATTTTGTGGCAGTTGAGTATTCCCGGCGTTATAGATCATTATGAACATTTGTGGACAGCTTGGAGCTTGTGCGGCACTTTTCAATGTTTGAATGATCGACTTGCTTTTTTCTAAGCGCCGTGCCATCCGTTTGCCTTTCAGCGAATCGAAGGGTACTTCTTTCCTAGCTGAGACAAAATCCGCTTCGGTGACCTCTGCACGTGCTATCAACTTGTCAAGAGAAGTCATGTTCTCTTAACGCTGAGACTCAGTAGTCAAAAAGTGTCTGAAAAAGGAAAGGAAGAGATTTGCTGCCAAACCGTCCCACTCTTTTCACATCAAATAGGGTAGGTTCTGAATTAAATCTGGATAGATGCGCTATTTAATATCCACCTGAAAAAATAGCAATATTTATTATATATCCCTCACACTTACCCAGATATCAACACTTTGCGCACCCGGTTGAGCAGTGGAGGCAAAATAGCTCATTGTCGTCGTTTCCGTCCATCGGTGGACGGTACTTGCAGATTTTGTACGCTTCATTACGATACAGGGCGCTTCTATTTGATTTTGGACGTTTCTAACCATTTCTTCCTATTTTGTAGTTTCCGTGGGCTTTCCATCCAATCGATTTCCGTCCGATTTCCGTCCGATTTCAGACGTTTCCGTCTGAAATCAACAAATTCTGTCTAAGGGTGTGTTCCGATCCGTTCTTTTGGGAGAATCCGGATCTGGATTTCTGATCTGTGGCGTTCCTTTCGAGCAAATCCATTTTCAGATCAGTGATCCATCAAATCCATTCTGGACAAAGATTCATCGGATCACTGATCTGCGTGACCTAAAGACGGATCACTGAATCATTGATCCAACGCGTTCCTTTGGGCGAAGGATCCGAAATTAATCATTTTGCTCAGCGGCGCTCAATTTCAAATAAGCGGGTACTTCATATATTGACCGGAAAGATTGTTGGCAATCGCTCCACAAATTCAGCGATAAACACGAAATAAAGTCGATTTTGTAATGTTAAATCGATCGGCTACTGATCGCAGGCATCCAGGGTCCCCAAGTATCCATATCGTAATCAATACTTGCTTCTGTAAGTCAATGGCAGGTCTCCCCCCATTCCTTTGTCCATGAGGCAGACCTGGGCAAGTAGCTAACAGGCGTTCCAAACAGCTGACTGTAGTTCTTGACATCCGAAAATGACTTTAAAAATCTGAAACAATGTAGAGTGGTTTAATACGTTCGAAATAATTCTCAATGCGGACATGGCTCTGCCTCTCCCTTATCAAAACAAACGATAGAAATTCTTCATCTTCACAACTTCTCGCTTCTTGTAATATTGAATTATTGGAAAGTTCCTATGTAAACGAAACAACAGCTGCTCTATCCGCGACGACCTTTTTTTTTTGGTTTTTCAATTCAGCGCGCGATTCCGCTGACGCGCTCTACAATTTCACGACTGCTGTGATGGTAACTGATCTGATGAGCTAAAGCTCCGTTCTTTTGATGCAACGTGATCAGTGTGATCTTGGATCACAAATCCTAATCCGGATCCTCCCAAAGGAGCGCACCTTAAGTTCAGATGGAAAAGTTCTTATAACCACACGCCATCGCACAAGTCTGCTTTTTCGAAGGAGAAGTTACTTAGTGTCACTTCTAACAGTCAGAGAAGACTAATTCCGCAAATGCCCAAATAAAATCGATGTTATTTTTCCAGATTACGTAATAACGCACCATCACCATCATTAGGCCTCAGTCACTTAAGGTTTCCCGGTAATACATTAAATTGGCGGCCACGATGCATTCATTTACCCCAATTACCGGTTCATATCAATAGTTCCAAACTAAAAGCCTATTTGCAAATAGGTTACCTTTATCGAAGGGAAATTGCAAAACAATGTTTTTCTAGCAATTGAAACCAAGAACACCCACACAAAGTTACAATGACCTAACCATTTCGTGTAAAGTGCAAACGTAAAATCCACTTTGTTGCATATAATTTCAGTCACACTGTTTCAAACTAAATCACACGCGAAAAGACCTGGAATATTGCGTTCGATTCGGTGGCGACCAATAAAAAAAGTATCAATACAAATTATCATGTTGTTTCCTAAGGTCTTATTGTTTTTGTTTCAGTGTTTGAATTAACCGCCTGAAAAATAGCAATATTTATTGTATATCCCTCACACTTACCCAGATATCAACACTTTGCGTGCCCGGTTGAGTAGTGGAGGCAAAATAGCTCATTGTCACCGTTTACGTCCAATGGTGGACGGTGCTTGCAGATTTTGTACGCTTCATTACGATACAGGGCGCTTTTATTTGATTTTGGACGTTTCCGACCATTTCTTCCGATTTGGTAGTTTCTGTGCGATTTCCATTTAATCGATTTCCGTCCCATTTCAGACACTTTCCGTCTGAAATCAAACAAATTCTTTCTGAGTTCAGATGGAAAAATTCTCTCAAACACACGCCATCGCACAAGTCTGCTTTTTCGAAGGAGAAGTTACTTAGTGGTCACTTCTGACAGTCAGAGAAGGTAATTCCGCAAATAAATCGATGTTATTTTTCCAGAGTACGTAATAACGCACCATTGCCATCCTTAGGGCTCAGTCATTTAAGGTTTCCCGATAATTCAGTAAATTAGCGGCCACGATACGTTCATTCACCCCAATTAACGGTTCATAACGATAGTTTCCAGACTGAAAGCCGTTTTGCAATTAGGTTACCTCTACTGAAGGGCAAAACAATGTTTTTCGTGCAATTGAAACCAAGAACGGCCTCATACAGTCACAATGACCTGACCATTTCGTGTAAAATGCAAACGTAAAATCCACTTTGTTGCATGTCAGTAATTTCAGTCACACTATTTCAAACTAAATCACACGCAAACAGACCTGGAATATTGGGTTCGATTCAGTCGTGACCAATGAAATAAGTATCATAACAAATAATCATATGCATCTTGTTTCTTAAGCTCTAATTACCTTTGCTTGTTTTGAACAAAACGATTGTTTTTAAACTACTCATTGCCAGTCTTGCTAAGCCCCAATTCAGACGAGTCATGGCAAATAACAGCAGACGAAAAATCGAGCCTATTTTTGCATGGGCAGAATATGAGGAAAGCCATTTAGCAGATCACCCAATGCCAAATGATTTTTCATCACCAAAGAGAAGTGAAGCACCCTGTGCCAACAGGAAAAACAGCAAAAAAGTGAATTTTCCGCGCAACGAGCCTGAACTGATAGTAGAGCCTTTTGATATGGAAGGAGATGTCTCTCCCCCTTGCAAAAACTTTTCGTCATCTAAACGACTGTTTAAACGGCGCAGATGGAAAGGAAAGAAGAAGTCATCGTCATCCGTTCAGACCTTTGAAGATAAAGATTACCATCCTGACAATTGTGAAAATGTGCCATGCCTTACCTCACACCTTACTCCTCCCAACATAATGTATCCAGGTCATGTGCAGGTCTGTCTCCCTCCAGGTTGTCTTCCCAGCGAAGTGGTGCTGATGTCATCTGGTGGTGACA